CTCTCTCTCTCTCTCTCTCTCTCTCTCTCTCTCTCTCCCCTCTCTCTCTCTCTCTCTCTCTCTCTCTCTCTCTCTCTCTCTCTCTCTCTCTCTCTCTCTCTCTCTCTCTCTCTCTCTCTCTCTCTCTCTCTCTCTCTCTCTCTCTCTCTCTCTCTCTCTCTCTCTCTCTCTCTCTCTCTCCTCTCTCTCTCTCTCTCTCTCTCTCTCTCTCTCTCTCTCTCTCTCTCTCTCTCTCTCTCTCTCTCTCTCTCTCTCTCTCTCTCTCTCTCTCTCTCTCTCTCTCTCTCTCTCTCTCTCTCTCTCTCTCTCTCTCTCTCTCTCTCTCTCTCTCTCTCTCTCTCTCTCTCTCTCTCTCTCTCTCTCTCTCTCTCTCTCTCTCTCTCTCTCTCTCTCTCTCTCTCTCTCTCTCTCATCTCTCTCTCTCTCTCTGCTCACACGACGATAACCGAGGATGTCGTGTGTCTTCCCTCATGGAGAACTAAGATGTATCACGCTCCTGCCTATATCCTCAAGGTAAACCGGGATATATCACGTCTTCTCTTTCCTGGTACTACAAGATAATAACCTGTATCTTCAATCATCGTCAGGTGTTGGTGAGTTAGGAGCACAGGTATTTGTGGAGGTATACTGAAAGAATACCAAATTGGTGCTGGTGGGATGGTGGTGGCAGGACCAACCCCAGAATCCTCTCATTGTAACTGCTTCACGTGGGAGTTAAACCCTTACTACCATTACTAATTCTTATATTGGGAACCTTCTGTACTAACATATGCATCTGCCAGTATATTTAACACTCAAGAAAGAGAACTCTGAAATAAGATGTAGTCGTGAGTTCAGGAACCTCTTAATTTTGTAGTGTGTAGCACCAGTAAGTGAAACTAGAGCGACACACTTCTCTCTTAACGCGTTTGGTTTTGCCGTCACTAAGAAGTGTACTGTTGTGTTGAGAGTTATGCCAGAGGACTCAAGACCCTGTCATTTGTATTAATTAAGGGATACAGGCGTGGACTTTTCCTCGTGAATTATGTGGTCGGTAAACACACACGCACACGTAGAGGAGTAACTTCGGCCCATTGTTGTGGTGGTGTGCCCAGGGGAAGCAACTCTTACTTCCGCCCCCGCGCCCCCTTACTGCCTGGCGGGGGAGGCGGGAAAAAGTGTAATGTGTGGCCAACCCGCGCTGTGAGGGGACTGGAGGGTGCTGTGGGGATAGAGGGGCAATGGCGGCTCGTCTAGGTTGCTGGGAGGGTGAGGGAGAGAGGGTAATATATGGTCCGTGTACAGTATAACCGTGTTGTAAGGGGAGGCAGCAGAGGGGTGTAAAATACATGGTTCCCAAAGAGTTACCAAATCTCAAAAGGTCCATTACCACTCCTGATCTACACGACCAGGCAATAGACAACCTCTCTAGACCAGCATCCGCCAGTAGGATCGGCTGAATATGAAACGCCCATATATGGGACAGGGTAGGATATGTCTAGTGCCTGTACCGACAGACGATAACTAACCCATGACACAACCATAACACACTATTAGCTTAGCTAACCTACAGCAAGGCGGTCAGCCCGCCTCCTAAATTTCTTCAATTTCCAAACTATGAACTTCCTTCCCCCACCTCTGATCTTCTTTCACCCTCTCTATCTGTACAAAACAAAGGGGTTAGGGAACTGTCGGTTGGATGAGCGGACGATTATTGAACCAAGGGACTAACTTGTTTTTTTGTTTTCCTTTTAGTTTGTTTAAAACTCTCCTACTATACTACAGGAAAACATTAATGAATCAATATATATTTTCGTTACTTGGCTTGACTGTTGTGTTAGCCTCAATGCCTCACCTCGTGGTGGGCGGTGGTAAAGCTCCTTAGAGTTTTAGCTGATGTGTTTAAAAAGAAATTCAATTTCAAAATCATTGCTGGGAGGAAACGTGACATGTACTGTATACCGAGTAGTGAAGGTGAGGAGAAAAGGTAACACTGGCCGGCTGTTATGTGTAGACACCAGGTAACACAAGGTGGTGACAATTAGTAGACAAAAGGTTCATTGTTTACACATCATGAGGCGAATTAAAAGATCTCTCAACCGTATGAGAGATATGTCTGTCTTATTGAGAGTGATGGAGTGAGATGTTGATGATTGTGACGATGATGCGGGGCTCGTGGTGTGTGAGAGAGAGAGAGATCCCAGGCAGTCCTCCATCCCACCACCACCACCACCACATGTTGCCTTGTTTGTTGGTGAGCGAGAGTGGCGTTTGTGTGTTGGGGGATGGAGACTCAGTACTGTTCTTGCTTCCTCGGTTGTTCCATAGATCTACCTCCTGCGTGAGTAAGAACCTTATTTTTCGTTATCTGGTTCACCGAAATGTCTTGCTTCAGGTGAGCGGTATGGTGAGGGAGGTGTTTGTGACCGGATGACTCCTCGTTCACACACACACACTTCCTCTACTCTCTCCTGCCATTTCCTTACTTTCCCAGACGATAATTTATCTTTACTCCATCAAAATACTGTTTAAGAGACATCACGTACACTATACAAGCAAGCAATTAACCCCCCCACCTTATCCCTACCTTACCCCCACATACCCCCACGTACCTTACCCCACCTTCATAGTAATAAACAAACAGTCAGGGTTGTATACACTCACCCTGACCCGCAGCATCCCTCCTCTCCCACCCACACACTGACTCATCTAGACAGTTGCCAGGATGACCCCCAGATGCCCCGCTGCCAATTATGTACCTTTTTTATATATATATACCGTCGCTTCCTGCCTGTCCTCACGACCCTGGGAATTTTATCCGTCGTCTTCTGAACCTTTTACCTTTTGATATGAAGACTTAATGATGCGTCTAACGTGGTTTTTTTTATGTTGTTGTGGGATAATAAGTAGGGAAGGAGTGAGTGGTATTACGCGAAACACTGCCAAGGTCACACTCGCCGCCTCACTGCTACAACGGCGACCTCGTGACCGGACTCCTCTTGCTCCTCCAGTTTTTTTTTTGTGTACAATGAAGTGTAGTGTGGATGTGGATGAGGCGGGTGTGGGTGAGACGGGTGTGGGTGAGGCGGGTGTGGGTGAGACGGGTGTGGGTGAGGTGGGTGTAGGTGAGACGTGGTTTGGGATAAAGTGGTGTAGTAACTCTGTGTAATTAGTTGTTTTCTAACGGCTACACAGCATCACCGTACAAGCACACACAACATATATGCTTGGGTATAGAAATAAGCCACCTGGAAGATCTATTAAAGTAGTGGATCACCTGAAGAATATCCACTACAGCTAACTTCGCCTAAATGATTAATCACCCTAACCTAACCTAACCTAACCTAATGACTAAAACCTTACGTCATACACCTATATACTGTACTATACAACTGTCTTATATTATTCAACTTTCCCCCTCCCTCTTCCCATCTTCACCCCCCCTTCCCTCTTCCCATCTTCACCCCCCTCCCTCTTTACATCTTTACCCCCTCCCCTCTTCTCATCTTCACCCCTCCCTCTTCCCATCTTCACCCTCCCTCCGTCTTCCCATCTTCACCCCCTCCCTCTTCCCATCTTCACCCTCCTCCCTCTTCCCATCTTCACCCCCTCTTCCCATCTTCACCCCCCTCCCTCTTTCCATCTTCACTCCTCTCCCTCTTCCCATCTTCACCCCCTCCGCCCATCAAAAGCAAAACAAAAACATTAGAGGCACCAATCGGTATTTATTTATTTTATTACTAACTAAATACCAAGCCATCCGTTCCTCGTCAAGATACCATACAGTAACTCGATACCATACAGTAGATACCATACAGTAACTCGATACCATACAGTAACTCCCCTTAATATACTCTACTGTGGCGTGAATGACCGCGGTGGCTTGAAGGTCGCTTATGCAGACAGACGATGAGACACACACACTGCCACAATATAATCAGGAGATATTTCTTGAGATATGAAGAGTACATGTGTCGTTTTAGTACAATGAAGAGGGGTAGGGGGGTTGCGGAACTTGCGGCCTCCGGGTGCGGTAGGAACAAGACGTGCCACACTAATCAGTTATATACCTGTTCATCATTGTTCCCGGTCGTGTTGTTGTGGTACTTTAAGTGATGCGGATATTGGTAGTCCCCTTCCCTTCCTACTCCTCTCTCTCTCATCCCTTTTCCTCCCTCCTTCCCACCTTTCCCTTTCCTCCCTCCTTCCCACCTACCCTTTTCCTCCTTCCTCCCTCCTCCCTTTCCTCCCTCCTTCCCTTCCTCCCTTTCCTCCTTCCTTCCCTTCCTCCCTCCTTCCCTTCCTCCTTCCTTCCCTTCCTCCTTCCTTCCCTTCCTCCCTTTCCTCCCTCTTTACCATCCTACCTTTTCCCCTTCCTTCACACTCCCCCTCCTTAACACTAACCTAACTTAACCCACCAATTAGTGTTAAGGTGGCCAATCAATAGGTGAAATAATCTTGGGTGGAGGTTCTTCAGGTGATCTGTATATGTTAAAAATTGTTCCACTTTGGCTTTGGTGATGATTTTTACACGGGTAGACTTAACCATTGTACAAGACAGGATTTATCGAGGAGGGTGCTGGGATCATGTGGAGGTTGTCAACTAGCCACCACCGTGATTGTTGTGGTGGGTGGGTGGGTGGTAGTGGTGAGTGGGTGTGTGGAGGCGGCAACGACAGGATGGCATTGGGCGGTTATGAGTGTTCAACGGTCACACCCGCTAGTGAGCCCTGATATACTCACTGTCAAGCCTGTGTGTGTGTGTGTGTGTGTGTGTGTGTGTGTGTGTGTGTGTGTGTGTGTGTGTGTGTGTGTGTGTGTGTGTGTGTGTGTGTGTGTGTGTGTGTGTGTGTGTGTGTGTGTGTGTGTGTGTGTGTGTGTGTGTGTGTGTGTGTGTGTGTGTGTGTGTGTGTGTGTGTGTGTGTGTGTGTGTGTGTGTGTGTGTGTGTGTGTGTGTGTGTGTGTGTGTGTGTGTGTGTGTGTATATCTTTTTTAATATTTATTTTTTTTATTCTTTTCAGATTAAGAATTTGAAGAAGGTGTCCATGATCCTGTTGTGGTAAGTAGTAAGCTAGAGTTTAGTGTAGTGGAGAAGATTGGTCTCCCTAGTTTGGTTAGGATAGTTTTCCCTCCATGTGAGAGATCAACTTGGTGAGGAGTGGCGGGACACATGTGGTGGTAAAATAGTGATGCACACACACACACACACACACACACACACACGAGAGAGAGAGAGAGAAAATTACATACAAATATCATGTATCACGACCCCACATGCTGTGATATTCGATCATGTTGGTGATAAATACCTGATAGTTTTACAGTCCATTTCTCACATTCCCAGAGTTTTCATAACCAGAGCCCATGAGTGACCTTAAATAATCCTTTCTCATGTTGTTGCCTGAAAGAACCGGTAACCCCATCTTACTGTGTGTGTGTGTGTGTGTGTGTGTGTGTGTGTGTGTGTGTGTGTGTGTGTGTGTGTGTGTGTGTGTGTCCCCTTCAATTCTCAACAAACAAAACCAAACACAAACAGAAAATGACACAAACCGAGGGAGTTGAAGAAGAGCCGCAAACCCCTGTCAGGTGACCACATGGCTACCTACCCTACACAGCCCAGGGCGACCTCAAGGAAACCACGGTGACCCTCTTGGTTTGGGTAAAGGCCTGTAGGGTTAAGGGGTGAGAGGTAGGATTCCCACGGCCACCATCTCTTGGGGGTTCTCACCTTACTCACGTCACCTACCATAACACTCGTCACCAGACAACCTCACTCTTACTACAACTACTTCGGCGTCACACACACAGCTCCAGAATAAGACCTTCAGCTTATGACCACCACAGCAGCTCTCTGAACAGTGTCTCATTCACTAGAAGTCCCGCAACTCTGACTATTAAAATGTTTAGTCGTATTTAATATATTCAGACGACCAAAACTAAACAATGACCTTGGCTCTGTAGATAAAAATAAATATATATTAGTTATTAATTCTGTCCTAAATACACAGTATATGTAAGGGAATCATTATCCCAATACAACACTAAAACCTCCGCCATTAATTAATTGTCTCACAGTAACTATATTTAATATAGAATCATTACTATTATTTTGTCATTTAATGATATAAAACGGGTAAAATGTAGTTGCTCGAGCGTAGAGTTTTGGCTGGGACGTTTATTTTCCCGTGTGTGTGTTGAATCACAAATGTTCAGGCACCCATTGCTGTCTTAGTGTGAGAGATATAACAGCACGTTAGTAAACTGTTTATTTTTGCTTCAACTGTAACTTTCTCCTCTGATAACCAGGGAAGAGGCATGGCGGTGTGGGTCTACCGTGAGATAAGTATAGGCGGTGTGTTCTCTTATGTAAGTATGTAGTTTCCCTCCCCAGCTCATCACAGAATTACCAGTGAACTATTGTTTTTCCGGATCACGTGACGATCAAGGACGCCCAATTTTATTTCACCTGATGATTAAACACCCTAACGATAACCTAATGTAGCGCAACTTAATCTAATCTAACGGCCTAAACCCCACCAGGAAGCGTTAGGGTGTTTAATCATCAGTTGCAATAAGTTTGAAGGAGTTTATCTCTTCACTTGGTCTGTTTTTCCCTCCTGTGGTGTTTTCCTCAGTTCTCACTCCTTCCCTCCCTCCCTCTGGCAGTGTGTGCTTGTTGACACAGTCCTCCTGATGCCGTTCGTTTTTTGTTTCTAGTCAGCTTGTATGAATAGTGGCTGCCTCTCGTGTGCCTGAGTAAGCCAAGAGTATTGGAGTCTTCAGCAGGTGTATGAAGTGTTGTTGATAACGTAACTTGATGGCTGGGAGGTGAGGGAGAGTCGCTACAAAATAGTGTTATGGTTTTGTGTGTACATCAAGCTGTCCCTCACTGGAAGTTGCAAGAGGGAACTTGACGTCACATACATATTAATAAGTGACCTGTTCTACCAGTCACTCAGGTAGTTGATTGCTAAAGTGAATTATTGGTGAGTTTTGATTGTGTGAACTATATGTTGTGTTGACACCAGAAGGATAATTTAGGAGACAGTCCACATCCACAGTCCCGAGCTTACTTCCGGTTATGGGTGCGAGGCAGGTGGCGGAAGAACTCCCGTATCATGCTATTCATCTCCAAATCGGACTGCTAGAGGTGCGGTTAATTCAGATAATGTACAGTACCATCTTCAAGACAACTGGTATGTGCATGGTGTGTGATATTAGTCTAATTTATCAAGAATCTGTTCAGCTCAATCGGTCCTTTTTATAAATATTGAGTGTTTTGTTTTGTATTTCCAGCTGTCAGCGTTCTTGAGACGTTGACAGGCTACATCAGTTGTTCTGTCCACAGGAAGCAATTTTACGCCTCAACTTCCTGGACAAGACAACCCCAACAAGCACGTCGGTTTGTGTTTCAATGTGCGTTTTATCTTGGTCAGTGTTTCCCAGTAGGTTGACAGTTTGAGACCATAGCTACTGCTGATAGTGTGGGAAAGGGAAAGATGGGGGGAGGGGGTGAAGGTGAGACGGAAGGGGGGGTTGTAGGAGGGGAGTTAATGTGGGAAAATTGGGAGGGGTTGCCGGTAAGGGTGTGTGGCAGGGAGCAATAAGGAAGGCGGCAGTGGGGTTGTGCGCGTGTTTACGGATAACCCCTCCTCCCCTCTCATGCCTCACGCGGTCACGTAAATAATGGCCTTCGTTGTGGGCCCAGAACACCCCCCCACCCCCTCCATCACCGTTCCCCAAGATGACAGGAAATTCTGGTGGTTAAATTCGACGTTATTTTTGGTGGTGAGGCAGACAGCATTCGTGGTTGTCTGCCTCTGGTGGTGTTTACCCGTGAGTGTGGCAAGTCTCTCTCCTCCCTCCCTTGGTTCCTCAGCCCATCGTTCTCACTGTGGGTAGAGCCCGGGGGTGTTATTACTGCTTTCACTCGGTGTAAATTACTTTTCTCATATTATCTTTCTGGGGTCACCTGAAGATTCGCCCCCCCCTTTCCCATCTTATTTCACCTGGAAACTAACCAACCAAATGATGGTCTAACCGAACCAGACTTAATTCCAGGTAGTGTAAGGGTAGTTAATCATCAGGTGAAATGAGCTGGGGAGGGAGAATCAGTTTTCTGTTGGGTCTTATTATTTCCGAACTCAGGCTAACTCATCAGGGGAAAGACATGTTAGTTATCCATCCACCCACCCGACCGTCCTGCCGTTTAGACCTCGTTAACACGGGAACACAAGTACAGTTTCGAAATTTCAGGCCTCTATGTGTTAGTTGATAAGAGTGAACAATAGTCGCAGTGTTCAGGGAATTTTGTTGATTATTTCTGTTTTCAGTTTGACTTGTGTTACTCTTTTTTTTATGCTCCTTAGCCTCCTCCTCTCCCCTCTGTTTTGGCTTCCCCCAGCCACCTCCTCTTCCCCCCAGCCACCTCCTCTTCCCCCCAGCCACCTCCTCTTCCCCCCAGCCACCTCCTCTTCCCCCCAGCCACCTCCTCTTCCCCCAAGCTTATTATTATTATTATTATTATTATTATGTCACATCGTCCGTATAATCAACTCATCAACGAAATTGCTCGCCACTTCGTCTAAAAAAAGGTGTACATACATGGTTGTGTGGTGTACAAGTCAAGATAGTTCCGCTTACACGATTTTTGGAGGGGTCGTGGCCCTTGTGTGACGGGTAAAGGAGACACGTCATTCTCTCCTATAACCTAACCTAACCTTGATAACGAGACATACTCAGCGAGCAGAGTATTGATAGCCGATGAAAAATACGTAAAACTTGAAGTGATTTTTTTTTTTAAGTTTTAGTTGGCTGGGGGAAAGTATTTGTGGGTTTGTATTTATATTTTAATATCATGAGCTTGTGTTACACCTGACTCTAGCCTCGCTGCAGGTTGGGGTGACACATCTCGCGGTCTCATTCGACTGGAAATTGGCTGAATTCTTCCCAGAGGTTTTTAGTCCTGTTTCTCATGGTTAAGAGACAGCACACACATGTTCCACTACAGCGATGATAGTATTGTCCTGGTAATTTATATTCGTAATTTAAAGTTGGAAGGGAATTTGTATTTATTTTATTCCTTCCCACACAGATCTTGTGATTTGTATTTCGTGTGGATGAAGTTCCCGGAGCGCCAGGCAGCAGACGTGTAGGCAGCTGTGCCATTGCTCGCTAAGGTGTCTTAATGAAGTAGAGAGAAATAGCAGGTCATGTTAAAGCTTAGTTGTACTGTACGTCTAACTTCAGTTGTATAGTACAGGTAATACAACACGATAGTTCCAACCTTCTCCCGGTCACCTGTACATATCGGCAGGTGAGCTTCCGTGTCTTCTCCACAACTCTTCCACAGGTTTACGGGAATGTGTGGAAGTCTGTAAAATGAAAATTAATGTCCACTCCCTCATTCTTTCCCTCCCTCCCTCCCTCCCTCCCTCCCTCCACAGAGACGCCGCTCCTAGTGTGTTTGAGTTGTGTTGGCTGCTACTCCACACCAGCCACTGAGGGATGATATACTTACGGCAATATACAATTCACAAAATCTAGGTGTTATTTGTTCCTACCACTTTTCTTACACAATGACGGTTTGTATGTTAGGTTACCAGTTTTGGCCACACACTTGTTGCCTAGTTGGGGTGTGTGTGTGTGTGTGTGTGTGTGTGTGTGTGTGTGTGTGTGTGTTTTGAGGGGATCATAGATATACTGTAGTCATTTTCCAGTTGACGTTCACATTGGAATAAAAACAGAATGATATAGTCTGAATGTTATGTTTTAAGAAAGAGACGCTTGTTTCCTGCCTAGGTGGAGTACTGTACCGTGGGAACTGACGGAGACCCAACACTAAAAAGAGATATTTGGCCAACACTTTTTCGTCGAATATAAATGTCTGGCACACACACACACACACACACACCTACACACCTACACACACACACACACACACCTACACACACCTACACACACACACACACACACACACTATACATACCTGCTGTGTATTCTCTTGACGTATTATTATAACCTTCTGTGGTGGTGGTGGTGGTGGTGGTCATCATTGTCTGCAGGCTCTTGTCTCTTAGGGAAGATATTTAAGTCTAGCCCTGATTGGATGGTCATACTACAAGGCTTCAGTGTCCGACAATGTTTCAGTATCTAACAAGGCTTCAGTGTCCGCCGTCAATGAGTGTTGTGTCGTTTCAGAAATATTGTGTGAATGATGGTCTGAGAGTGAGTGTCGCCCCAACACTTCTCTAGCATGATATAAACTTGGGATTTTGTGACGTCTCATGTTTCCTGTTTGATTCGAAGTTTAGTTTTATATGGTAGGTTGGGTTAGGAAAGCAAATTTTAGAGCATCACTGACGTCTTCAGCTTAGTTAACCTTCTTTTTTCCTCAGCCAGATGCTAACTTTATCGCGGGTGATTACTTGATTGTTCGGCTTATGTGTGTATACGCCTGATGACTGTCGGTCTGCAGGGCTTTGGAAAAAATCAAACTAAAATGTAACTATATAAATTGAGTTAAAGTATACCATTATACTGTGTGTGTGTGTGTGTGTGTGTGTGAGTTTTTCTGCATTGCGATTATTATAAAATGGAACTTCAAATGTATTTGGTTTTCGCCGCCATTTTCCTCATTGGCGGAAAGTTTTCTGGCTGCCGTTTGTGTCATATATTGGTCGGTGGAGCCAAGGTCAAACACTGCCTCGCCGGGATTTTTCCCTCGTGGTTATCTTGAGTCTACCCCATGCTTGTCTGGTGTCTGGCCCGAGTGTTCTTGGTTACGTCGTCGGAAACTTGACCTGGAAGGCACATGACGGGCGGAGGGAGCAGGTGGGTCAGTGTAGCAGGAACAGTTAGCCAGGAACGTGAGCAGCATGCTTAGCCATGGGCCAGTTAAACTTTACCGTTAATTATTGGGTTAACTACCTCTAACACCAGCAGGTAACGTGTTAGGTGACACGTCCCAGTGACCGCTGGTAGTACCAGGTTCACACAGCCAAGTGTGTAAGCTCACAGTGACCGGCAGCCAGCAGTGTTGGCCAGGCACCACCACCTCACATCACCCTGCCGTCGCCAGCCCCACACCGTGACGGGCACCAGGCGCCGAGGCTCCACACTGGTTTTTTGTGCAGGTTATCACCCTGGCAGCTGCCACTCACACTAGAATAGATGAAGTCTCTACGGCCATACTTTTCACACCCTTAAACATTACGCATGTTTTAATCAAGCAAGTTGTAACAGACCTTAAATGTCTTTGACAGTTCTTGTCACCTGAATTGCTTACACGAGGAAACCCTCCTGTTGCCTAGGATTAGTCGCACCAGACTCGGGGACACATCCACATAAGAATACTTCTTATGGAGTTTACTTTGAAAATATTTTGTTGTGAAGACAAAGGTGGTGTGGGTGTTGAGCCTGGAAGAGCTTCATCTTCGTGGCAGCATTCCTATTGTCTGGTTTGGTTTTCTTAGGTTTTACGATGCACTTATCGTTGGGTCGGCAGCGAATGCACCCGTTTCCAGGATAATCTCGTTGTCAAGTCCGATTTATACAACCATAACGTTATCTGTTTTCTGTTTTTCTCCTGTGTGTTTTATGTACTGTATTGTACCTGTTGTATTCTCTGTACAGTCTCGGGTGATTAATACTCGTAGACTTTACAGAGCATCATGTTCGTCGTCCACGCCAGCGAGATCTTTATCGACTAACCAGAGGGGGAGCCTTAACGCTTGCCCTGCTCTCTTCTTGTCATTATAATATCCACCAGACATATGAATAACACAAGTAACATGACTCCACCCTGAAGAACTCCACCTTTATTTAGTATTTGTTAAGTTTAAAAAAATATTACTCCTCATTCAGCTCGAGTAAATATTTGAATTGTATTACACCTTTTTCTTTAGGTATGATAGTAATACTTCACCTGAATTTCTTTTTGTTTTTTATCTAAGTTATTATTTGCTGGTCGTCAAGTAGGAATGATAGTTGTTGTGGTGACAGAAGTTAAGTTTTGCCTCAGAACAGCTAAGTAGTGCCTCCTTACCCGTTAACTGTAGTCTCTTACGTAATGCATCATTCTTAATCCCTGTGTGTGTATTTTGTTGATCCTGATGTTTACAAAGTATTACTCCGCCGGATATTTGAACGAATAAAATGAAATGTGTTGTATCAGTGTGTAGGTGTTGAAACGAGTGGTGGTAGTGGTGGTGGTTGGTGTGGGTGGGGGCGTGGCGGAGAGGGCTGGAGGACACATTAGGAAGGCGGGGCTGAGGGTGTAGCTGTGAGGGCAGGGAGACAGCCTACCCCTCTGCCGCCACCAGTACACCCACGTACACCCCCCCTCCTTGTGTAAATAAACGGTTAATGAATGCATTCCCTTATTAATTTGAGTCCTATCATATCATTAAGTGATTCGGTTGGCGAAAGTTTAGAAACGACAGAATCAGGGTGGCGCTGGACCCGTCAAGCCGTAAAGCTACAGTAGATATATTGAGGTAGGACGCGGATCTCAGGCAGTGTCTGTGACGACTGTCCCATGTTACACAGTGAGTAGGTCACTAGGGTATGAAGCACTCAGTCACAACTTTACGCGTCACGTGTGTATAAGAATTGTACATAATTTGGGGGGTATTACGTGAGTAGGCTGAGCCCATAGAAGGCAGTAAGCTGTAAACACTTCAGAATTAACTATATAGAAAGAGGGAACAATATTATCTGGTGAGCATAGCGTGACGTCATCACCCACTTAACTCTGCCCTGGTTTAGTACAGAACACCGTGAGGAAAATTTTTCTGGGGGGTAAATGGTTTTAGGAATTTTGTTTTTTCCTGTGTTATCTCCCTGTCCTCACACACAACTTTAAACCAGATGATAATAAATGTTACATAATACTTCCTTGAGATAAATGTATAGTATATAATTATCAGGTGCCCAAAAGAGAGCTCAGGTTCTCAACTGGCTCAGCCATGTTAATATTGTTATTATTATCCACTCTCTATCTGTGTTTTTCTGGCTAAATAAACTGTTTCAATTCAAATCGTGTCACGGTGGTCATTTCTTCAGCTATGTCCTGATATCGTCTCTTACCGTCTCTGTTTTTGTTTCAGGTGTCACTTCTTCCTAACACGCGCCCTCCTCCTGTCCCTATGAGCTTCGGTGAGTGGAAGGGAATTGTGTTTACTAGGGTGTGGGTGTTAGTGGAAATTTTCCACGGTGGAGGCGATGTATGTCTCGGGCGACACACTGGTCTAAGGGCACCACCAGCTCTATGGTCGGTCTGTTTCTTGTTATTCGTCTCCTGAACAAGCGATGAAAGTGATGCTCCTGTTCAGTGCCGCCTTATTGTCCCGCTGAGGTTATGGCGTCATTCTTTCCCCTGCTACAACCCCTCCCGTGTGCTGCCCATCTCCCTGTACGTCTGCTTCTCTCACAACCTCTGTTATAATTTCTTGTTTATTTGAAGAAATTTTAAGTGACAATATACTGATGTGACGATATAAATATCTGCAGATTTTTACCCAAACTTCGTGAGTGAGGAGGGAAGGGAGGGGCCGGGTGAGGTCACATTGTAGGCCTACAATCAGAGGTTCAGCCGAGTGTGTCATCAGCAAGGCCTTATGTTATCCATTGAGCCGCCTACTTCACACAGTTGATCTACAGCACGTGTTAGGTGAGCTACTCTCTCCCAATAATTATACTCGAGCAATGGCCTGGTGTGGAGCCGCGTTATAGTGTGGCTGGGCGTGGTGCGCTGTGGTGATAAGTTGTAAAGTGTCGGGGTGTGGTGTGGAAAATTGCGGTCATGAAGGCCAGGGTAAGAAAAAAGCATAAATCACCACCAAACTGGACCGATGAAGGTAACTCCTCTTAAACCTAATATAGATGATAGCGAGCGCTGCTTACCATCAACACAACCGCACCAGGTCAAGGAGGTGTCACTTCTAACCTGCTGGTGAGCTGTATCTTGATAACCTCTCTGAGTGGCGGCGGTGGTGGTGAGGTCTCGTGGCGGTGGTGTGTGTGTTGAGGAAGGCCTCGTGGTGGTGATAAGTGTGTGTTAAGGAGGGCCTCGTGGTGGTGATAAGTGTGTGTTAAAGAGGGCCTCGTGGTGGTGTTGAGTGTGTGTTAAGGAAGGCCTCGTGGTGGTGATAAGTGTGTGTTAAGGAGGGCCTCGTGGTGGTGATAAGTGTGTGTTAAGGAGGGCCTCATGGTGGTGTTGAGTGTGTGTTAAGGAGGGCCTCGTGGTGGTGTTGAGTGTGTGTTAAGGAGGGCCTCGTGGTGGTGATAAGTGTGTGTTAAGGAGGGCCTCGTGGTGACGGTGTGACACACACGGCGCCGTCCTTCTCGGGCTGGCGACTAAGGGTCCTGCCGCTGAGCTTTCTCACCGCCATTACAACAGGAACTTTCGACGTTGCAACTTTTTACCATCAAATGTAAGACACATCGCCCCTGGACCAGTACGGTAGGTTGTTATGGTCATTTTGTGCCGTGCAGCGTGTTTTGTGTTTTAATCTTTGTGTTATTATATAGTGGTTATGTGTTTTGGGGCTGTAGCTAAGTTCGTTCCTGAACTGTGTACATCTTTGTCTCGTCAACAGATCGAATTCTCCATTTTTGTCGCAATAAATTTTTAGCCTTTTTTGTGTTCTCGTTGTTTCTCGAAGACCTGTGGTCCCGTGAACATAATGTTGATTCCAAGCATAAATATTATTCTCTCCTTACTTGGCGTGTTGTGGTGACCCTCCCCCTGGCCCTCAGCTCCACGGAGGTAATGAGTGGCGCCCCTCGTCACGCCAACACCGGGGAGGCTCTTTCTTTCCTGCCATATAGACGATAATCGATCATCACCCCTCCCGCTGGTGGTGTTGTGGGGGCGAGTCGTAGCCCCGCACTGCGTCATGACCATCATGGTAGGGCCAAGACTGGCTGGCCTCGTACCACCCGCACACCTCACCTGCTTCGCCTTCCTGGCCCCGCAACCTCACTACATGTTGGTGTGTGTGGTGGATGGTCGTCTCTACCACAGTGCATACACATAACATCTGCTATGGTGGATCGTGAGTGGCTGTCACCACTTTCCTTTATCGTCGTGTAGTGTATACACTGTACGGCCATTAGTGCTTACTTATGTCATCCCTTAAAGTGTATAGTGTGTGGTCATCATCCTCGGTGTTGCCTCCTTAAGTATCCCAAATAGTCACTGTCGCAAAGTCGTCATCAGCCGTGACTGTACGCAGGGGCTGGTTACCTTCAGTCACTGTACAGTAGCTTGGCCATGTACACACATCAAAACAGATTGTGCTTATTTCACACGAAACAATGTGACACCACAGACGATGGATATTGTAAAATTCCATATATCTCTTACTTGTGACATTTCTCGTTTTGTCACTAGTAAGTATTTTCATTATATGCACATTCAGAAGAAAATTGATTAGTCTTGGGAACAGTGTGTGGCGTGGTTCATGGTGGTGGTGACATAGGTGTAGTGATCATTTAGAGGAGAATCGGACCCAGTGTACACAGATATTATTTTGTTCGTGTATATAATGTAGCTTTGTGTGTTCGTTAGTTCTCCACCAGTGTTTTACGGATTAACGTAATAAATAATTCTATACACTACTATTTCTATATTTTACGTATTGTTTTTAATTCTCACTTCAGACTTACTACGGTTATGTGTATTTGTTTTTTGTTTCGTTTGAAAGTGAGTTGAAGCGGCATTATATTAGTTCTGTCTCAGTTGTATGTTATGGCGGCAGCGCAGGTGTTGTCCAGGTGCTCTCCGTGACAACAAACTCTTACCCAACCTCCTCCCCCCGTGGTGGGCGGGAGGAGGAGGAGGCTCTAACACGGTATCTGACTGGCCGGCTGTTGGCTCTGGAGGAACGACAAATATGGATTCCGTGCACATTGTGGAGAGAGATGAGTGTATGCTGCTGTGGTTGATGTTGACCTGCGTGGTAAGGAACCCGTGGTGGCAGCCGACTGGTGCAAGTTACAGGAGGGGCTTCATTACACACTGGGAATACTGTATTGCCTTGGCTTCACAAGTGCCTGGTTCTTGGACCTGAATTTCCTTGATGGCACTATGAGTTCCCTTGGGTGTAACTTGTATGCGAGATGTTCCTGATTGTGTGTGAACAGTTTGGCTCGGTTGATCTACTCCAGTCATTGAAGGAGGGTAGTTCTGTAGCCTCTTTTGTAGGTTGTGGTGTACCGTAGTCTGCAGAGTTTTGAGTCCTGCAGATATACGTCATTGTTGTGTGTAAAAGTTTTGCGTTATGTTTCTCGGTAAGAATATATCAGTTGCGGTGGTCAGAGGTGTTGTGGTGCATCTGTAGTTTTTCAGTCAATGGTAAAGTTGATTCGGTGTGGTGTAATAGTGCATATGAAGGTTCTGTTTTTGTAATACTGTGATGAGAAAATATCTTACACTGTCATGTTTACCAACATGGTGCAGTGCTGAGCGTAATAGTAACTATACCGCAAGTTTTATCCTAGTAAACCACGGTCATATGGAAAACGTAATTATAAAAACCATAATATAGTGTATTGTATGAGTAGCCTAGTGTTACGCCGACCTCTCGTATTTCTTGGCATCTGTCCTTCGCTCTGTCCACCTTATTATTTCTTCATTCATTAGTTTAATTCGTCTCGTCAGCAGACTCGAGCGCTTATACACTACATTCGTGAGGGCTACACCGCCATGCAGGTCAAGGGCGAGAGTATTGGCGCCATGCAAAAATACGTCTCTGGAAATCGATGCTACCTTTAGCAAAAAATCTGGTTTAGATCTTTTTATAATAACTTCATGTATTACAGCTTCAGGACTAATGTTTTGAAATATAATATAAAATAAAATAATGCAATGATTATATGATTTTTACAATACCTGTAGAATTTGTATTATTATTTTACGAATCCGTTTTAAATATTCTCAGTAACGTTTAAAAAAAAATATAGCCGAATATATAGGATCATGCATAACATAAATACATTAGATATTAAAAGTAGTAGGCAGCTATCAAACAGGGAGTTACTACAGGTTGACAACCCTTTATCCGAAAACCGAAAAGCTCTGATAACCGAAAGTTTTTTTTGGGGGCATTTTTTTAATGTGTATTAGCCCACCCAGGCATAGATCACTGACCCACATGAGGACCTGGGGGCGAAAATGTAATAGTAATAATAATTATAATAATTATTCATAGTAAATAAAAAATTTAATAAAAATACACCAAAATAAAATAATAATAATAATAATACTAATAATAATAAAATATAATAATAGATTTAATAATAATAACAATAATACTGTAATAATTAAATAATAATAATAATAAAGAAATGCAAGAATGAAAAAAAGATCAAGTGAGAAACACGATCTAGACCTATGAATTATTATTATTATTATTATTATTATTATTATTATTATTATTATTATTATTATTATTATTATTATTATTATTATTATTATAATTTTTTATTATATTTTCGCCCCCCAGGCCCTAATGTGGGTCAGTGATCTATGTCCGGGTGGGCTAATACACATTAAAAAACAAACTAACCATTCTGAAAACCGAAAAATTCCGAAATGCCTCTGGCCCCAAGGATTTCGGATAAGGGATTGTCAACCTGTACCGCCTGGGAAGATATTGGAAGCTTTGTGTTGTCTAATGGTAGACCCTGCTGCCATATGGCACCACGAAAATTGTGACCAAGTCCCAGGTTGCTGATCTGACTTTCTGCCTCATTTACACACAATTGCAGGGTCTCTATTGTTTCTCTTACTGTGACAACACAAAATATATATATTGTTTCTCACTATCTTTTTATTATCATTTTTGTATGTATTTAGTATTATTATCATTATTTTTATTTTTATAAATTGTATTGATTATAAATATTATTATTATTATTATTAATTATTATTATTATTATTATTATTATTATTATTATTATTATTATTATTATTATTATTATTATTATTACCCCCAGGCCTTAACGTGGGTCAGTGACCTGTGCTCGGGTGGGCTAATCCCAGTAAAAAAAAGGTAAATAAATAAATACAAATAATAAGGTGATTGACGCGAGGAAAATAAAGTATGATAGACGTCTGAAGAAAAAATAGACCATGATTGACGTGTGAGGGAGAGTGAGGAGGAGGAGCCCTCTAGCATTATGTTATCTTTAATTACATGAGCTTATAAGTCTCCACTTAGCTCGAGATAGGAACAAAAGGATTAATGGTGGTTAAGTAGTGTTAGAGGCTGTGAGGAGTCTGGTGGGGCGTAAGAGGCAAGCCTTTACCAAGAAGTCCTTGTGCTTCTTGATGTGACCCATGAACTATTCCTGTCCACCCTCTCAACGACGTCATTGTGGTAGTTAGCGAACACTAGGAAAGGTACTAACTACCGCTGGGGCACTTGCTGTTGCTTTAACTGTCGTGTCCGCAGCTATGAATGTAATATTTGTTGTTAATACGCGACTCGCTGTTGAGGTTGTATTTTTGTATTTGACGTTGTTGTAGTACTTGTTCGTGTGAATGTAATTCTTTTTTCTATAGCTAAGGTACTGGCTACTGTGACAAGGATTAGTTGTTATTGTGTGACTGGTTCTCGTGACGGCTTGACAGTTTATACAAGTCACTAGACCAGCCCTTTCATAGTAGATAAGACCAGCGGCCATCCCTGAGAGAAATTAATTGGAAATATGTGATTACCGACACAGTTATATAGTAAAGACAGACACATGGAGCGTGTGGCAGTGGCCGTTGTGTCCATTTTTCAGCCCTGTCAGCAGTATACTTGCGTGTTTGGTTGTGTATTATGACTTAGAATAGCAGTGAAGGAAACAGTGTAGGATGGAGAGAAGGGTTCCCACGCACGGCCACCATACGACCTTGGCCGTCACCACCTGGAATTTCCGCCACCTAGTGAGGACTATTTCTCCCTTAACTCTCACTATTTCTCCCTTACCTCTCACTATTTCTCCCTTAACTCTCACTATTTCTCCCTTACCTCTCACCATTTCTCCCTTACCTCTCACTATTTCTCCCTTACCTCTCACTATTTCTCCCTTACCTCTCACCACCTCCTTACCTCACTTTCTCCCTTACTATTTCTCCCTTAACTCTCACTATTTCTCCCTTACCTCTCACTATTTCTCCCTTAACTCTCACTATTTCTCCCTTACCTCTCACCATTTCTCCCTTACCTCTCACTATTTCTCCCTTACCTCTCACTATTTCTCCCTTACCTCTCACACGACCAGCTCTCTTGACCACCACCACCACACTTATTAGTCACAACTAGCCTCAACCTTTCACCCAACCAGAAGCATTATGAAAACATGGACACATTTGAAATTAATTAAAAAGGGAAAATTTTGTTTTGGCGAAATATAGAAAACCAGAGTGAAAATAAGGCATCTTTTGTGTACCGTAGGTCTTAATTCTGTTAAGATGTTGGCTACACAAAGTACGGTGCTACTATAGTATACGGTCTACCGAGATACAGTATTTACACTATCATCCATTAACCTAACCTAACCTGGGTTAGGTTAAGTTTAAGATAGGTTAGGTTAAGATATATTAGATTAAGTTAGGAATAAATGTGTAAATTAATTACTATAGTTATCATAAATCAAAGTATACTATACCAGTACAGTACTGTACTGGTATTCAAAATAGCTATTTCCTAACTGAATAACTGACCCTGGCCTGTATGTCCATATGTACTATGTAACTTTCTTCTGTCCCACCTATTAATATTGATTTTATACATTATTGTACTGTGTTGGCTGATATTAAGAATTTTTTCCACCACTGAATGTATAGGTACATTACAGTATTTCCAAGACATATTTCTCGTTTTGTTTCACGATTTCTTTTACATGAGTTTTTGCAATATTTTTTTTTCTGAAATCTCCAATTTACTGCCTAAGTCAATAATGCAGATGTGTACTGTATTGAAGAAGGCAGCTTTTTTTTTATACGGTGTACCACACTTGTCAACCATAATTAATTATAATTTTTCCTTATCCACCAGCACCTAAGTCTGCAATGTTCACTCAATAACTGATATTTGATGCAGCATTTTGTCACTAAGACATTGGATGAACTTGAATATCAGCTAATTTCAACCATATTTGACATTTCAGTATGAGAAAAGTTGCAAGTTTTCTTAGTTTTCGACCCAGGGTGTGACATGCAGCTTTTTCCTGACCTGTGAGTAATGATTATTATGTTGTTGCAGAAGGCGATGCTAGGTGAGTAATGCTGGGGGAGAGTGTGGTGGTGAGCGGGGCAGGGGGCACAACGCTCCTTCGTCCACGCTCCGCAGACAACCTGATCCGCTTGGCTCCTGCCACCTCCTTACCTGCCCTCGATGACCTCGCTGAGTCTGAGGTGTTTGTTGGTAAGTCAATCCAATATCAATCAATCAAAAGTACCATCCTCATACAGTATTTGTTGGTTGGTGATCATAGTCCTTCACTCTAAATGCTTTTGGGCTGTTTTTACCGATCCTCTGAGATTTTGCATCTCTCAGGGGACCCAGTTTTTAATTTAATTCATCCAACCCAGTCTCTGTTTTCCCCTGGCCTTCCTACCCTCAAGTTTGCCCATTAATATTTCTGCTATTATCCCCTCAACCCTAATTACATGACCAAGGTATCCAATATAGACCGTACTGTGCCAGTAGTAATGGTTAACTAATTTATAGGCTCCAACAGCACAGTATGTAAAAGCATTTTTTTATTTATAGGATTTATTGGGGTAAGAGGTTCTACCTGTGGGGCTTCAGCCCAACAACAATCAAAAGTTTATTTTATGGCATGGGAGAACATTTGCTATTATAAAATTATTCATAGTTATAATTATCATCTTCTATGATTGTTATCTTCTAATCCCAGATTTATGTTAATTACAAGGTGTCTATGATAATAATATTAACTTTGTGCTTATCCTTCCAGGGGATGAGGATGAGGATGTAGGATTCAGTCATGAACTCAGGCAAGTAGAGGAAGTGAATTTACGACCATCCACAATGGATCAGATGCTCTCCCATGGTTCATCATCATCTGGTAATAATTGTGATGCCACTTCATCAGATCTACTGTCTCCAACTGGTCCCACTCCCACAGCAAACCTATTAATCACCTACCATGATGAAGCTTTAAGGTTGCCACTAGATGCTGTGAAGGAAGAGGTGGAAGCTGAAGCCCTTGAGGAAGCTAGTATGATAATGTCTAGTGGGCCTGGATCTCTTAGCCATGTATCTCTTACTTCATCTGTTATTTCTAATAATTCTCTGGATGACAGCACACTGTCCTCCCGAACTGATACCTTTGACACCGTGGTGGCTGTACCTTTCAGTGATTCTTCTTCCCCACCGGATGTTTCTAATGCAAGTAGCCCAACTCCTACAAAAACCACGCCCACTCGTCCTTCCAACAGAGATGCAACAAGAGTCTCGGGAACCCCTACTCGGACCTCTCCCACCTCCCCTCGTGGATCATCAGGTCGTAGTTCACCCCGCACATCTACGGACTCTCCCCGCACACCAGAAAGAAGGCGCAAAAGTGCTACATCATCTCCAAGAAGTGATAACAGTAGGGGAAGTACCCCAAGGGCAACAGCCATGCGCACAACTCCACGTGGAGTAGATAAAACCAAAGGTGAAGACAAGAAAACGCCAAGAGGTTCAGGGCGAAGTGGAAGTACGACTGCAGAACGAAAGCATTGTGCACGAATGCAGGATTCTACCTTCAAACGGGACTCTGATAAAACCTATGGTCATACTCGCATCAAGGATCACACAGAAGATAGTAAGAGTAGCTTTTTTGGACGTAAGAAAAAACCAGATGCCAAAGATAATAATCAAGATACTGATTCTAAATTTAATACAATAGGTCGAAAAAAGAAAGAAAATAAATCTGAGAAGGAAGAAGTTGCTGAAAAATATGGGACATTGGGTAGACGTAGGAAGACAAAAGAGAGTGGTGACACCAAAGATGATTGCAAGGACAAATTATCAAAAGATACTAAAAATACTCTGGATATGTATGCCACATTACCCAGGCGAAAAGCCCGTGAAATGAGTGCGAGGTGGCGGGAACAGATGGCTGCAGAAGAAGAGGCAGCACGACCCTCCTTAAGACGTACTAAGTCAGTGGGTAAATCAGAAACTAGCAGCAGTGTAACTCGAGGACGCGCCTCTGTTATGACATCAAGTATGCCCTCGTCATCCTTAACAGGCCTCGGTAGGTCACGAAGTCCTCGTACCATCCATCGTGAAGCTAAGTCTACCTCAACAACTTTTAATGCACGCAAAGAAAGAACAATCATATGCATGGAAACTGGTGTACAAACTTCACTGACAGGTGGAGATCTTGTGTCTGCTCTGAGAGCTTTGTCACGACAAAACTCTGTTGGTACTGAGGAAGATCCTGAGGACGCAGCAGAGACGAGGCCACATGTTTCAATTATAAGAGAGATGAAGACACCAGAAGACCTGCCAGACAGACGACATGTTGAAGTCCAGGTGAGGTTTAGTGCAATGTCATGATAAATGTAGGGTATAATGTGGCTGAAAATTTAATAAAAAATTTGTCCTTTTGACTAAAACAACTAACACACACACACACACTCTCTCTCTCTCTCTCTCTCTCTCTCTCTCTCTCTCTCGCTCTCGCTCTCGCTCTCGCTCTCGCTCTCTCAATTTTATTAACATGTTCAGAAGGTGTATGAGTCACAGCACACACCTGTCAACCCCTCTTGTGTGAATCAATAGGTTGAGCTGGCGTGGCGCCTTGGTGATGGGGAACTCCCAGAACACGTGCGGCGACTCACTGAGGAACACACCCGCCTCCAGACTGAACACTCCCGGGCTAGATCCCGCCTTGAAGAGATGGAAGGTATTCGCGAGGAGATGGAAAAGATGAAGGCAAGACTGGAGGAAGAACGCTTGGAGAAAGAGGAAGTTCAAGGCGAGTTAGATAGAACTTCACAACGAGTTAAAGATATGCTGATCTCTATGGAAGGAGTCGAACATGGTAAGAATTAATGGAATACAGTACTTATCAATAACATTATTAATATAATATATATATATATATATATATATATATATATATATATATATATATATATATATATATATATATATATATATATATATATATATATATATATATATATATATATATATATATATATGTATATATATATGTATATATATATACACACATACACATACTGTATCCAATCCTCAACTACTTTTTTTTTTACAAAGTATTGTTTCAGAAATGTCCTTTTTTAATACAGGTGCAGTATTTATAAGTGTGGTAAGGATACCTAATATTTTAATATAGAATTATAAGAAGAAAAATTAAACACTAGGCTGCAAGGAAGGCACAATAGGGGGAGAAATAGAGCAAAGGTGGTGTAAGAGAGGAAGACGAATATATCTTTGAAGAGGATTATGAAAGAAAATGTAAAGTAAAAACTGAGGCAGCATTATCTTCCTGACCTTGAACAATGCAAGTGAAGGGTTGAAGGTGACAGATTTTGACTGTATTAAGTTGAAGTGAATTATATGAGGGCTGCATGTGATATTAGTAGATGGGAGGACATGAGCTATATTGAAGCTCTGTATATGAGAGATGTGGGATAACAGAAGATTAGAGATATGAAGTTATTAAAGATAGTTTGAGGTTGGTAGAGAGGAAGATGGATTATAGAAATGTGAAGAGAATGTACAGTAGTGAAGTATAAGGAACCATAGTACTGTAGTGGAAAGACAGACTGTCCCCCCTGGGAAAGAAAATGTAGTACAGTAGTACATAAAGGGAAAAGCTGCTGGTGGAGTTTAGTACAGTATGTTATAATGGATGTGTACATTTATATGATAGGTATAAAATTCCTGAAATCACCATGCTTCATGTGTTTCTAGGTGAGATGGTAAAAAGTTACTGAGCAGATCTTAGGTGTGAGAGATGGTCAGTGCTAAATTAAATTGGTCAGTTTTAACTCCATAGTAGCGCTACTGACTCCCTTGAGTGAATTAAATGTTCGATTTCCGCTGGTGGAGTTCAGTATGTATACAGTACAGTATACAGGAGCCTCTGATCAGGATAACTTGTTTTGCGTATCATTTGATCATTCTTGAAGAAAGAACAGACTAGGTACAGTAATATGTTATTGTTTTTATTAAATTCATGTTAAATAAAGCAATTAGTAAAAAAAAATAAATATTCCTCACTGGAATCTGTAGTACTGTACATACTGTACATATAACTTTGTGTGTAGTACTGTTGTGTACGTACAGTATTTATATTCTCTTTTGTGCTCAGTACAGGAAGAATTGAAAGTATTTGTTTGTAGACTTAACAGTGCTCTTAAAGGTAAACTTATCTCTTTTCAGAATTCAACAGCAGAGGTGACAGCTTAATGGAGTTGGAATCTCAACTACATCATTCAGCAGATATACATGTACAAATGCAGGAAAGGCTCAACCAATATGAAGAATTTGCTTTAAAGTACAAAAGGGTAAGATGCTATAATGTACTGTATGTTTTTAAAATGAGTGGATGGACATTCACATAGCAGCATTGTGCATGAATGATCAGAGAACACAGTTTCAAATGAATTTTGTGGAAGGATGCACTTTTCATGGTGATGGTAGAGTGTATGAAGCAACAGGAATCAACCAGATGGATATTTTGGTTTTGTTGAAGTAGCGTACAGTACAGTATGTTAAATTTGTCTTCGAGAGACCTCCACTGACTGTATAATGTTAATAACCTGTGGTCATGAAATTATACTGCATTCGCTGGTAATGGGGAATTGTGCATGAATTACTTCTTCTTTTTTAGATTAATATGATCAGTTCACACTTCACTGAAGAGGCTAGAAATTCAAATAGTGTAGAGAACTTCACAAAAGGACTAATAAATTTCCCATTAAAATATTTATGCTAAAATTTTCTAACAGGACTTGGACAAGAGCGTTGCAGCTCAGAAGACGCTCCTGCAACAAGTTCAAGATTTAGAGAATGATGGCCGAGAGATGGCAGATTTCATGGCTGAAGAAAAGAATGCTCTGGCAGAATGCTTACGTGAAGCTGAGACTGAGGTATGTAGCCAATGTAGGGTTGATAGATTTTACAATACTGTATACCAGTAATAAATAGTAATTAGTGTGCCTCTTGTCTTAGGTATGGACAGGTCATATCGTGTTACCAATGCTTGTTCATCTGTGTGCACGTCACACACTTGGTTTTTAATAAATAAGTACTGTAGATAATTTAATGACAGACCAGATGGAAAGTTTATATATGGTATTGTACAGCCTTTTATCTATTTCTTGTGAGGCAGAGTTTATTAACTATCATTTTTTATCCATTATGTGAATTATTTTCCAGATTAGGAATTTTGGAATCAAGAATGTGGTACTGTATCTAATCAGTAATAAAAATGGGCTGATGAAAAATACAATTATTGCTTGGTTAACATAATAAGTGCATTTTGAATAAGTAAATATCATGTTTTGTGGAAACATTTGAATAGAAATTAATGATCCCATAGGAAAACATATAAAAGATGGGAGTTGATTGTTTGAAAGCAATTAATTGTAACAAGTGTTAATGTATTTGGGCTTAGGGGTAGTATATGTTTGTATGTATGGTATAAAGTACAGTGGGGTATGCTATAACGAACGGATCCTACTACGAATATTCCTATAACAAATGGTTTTACCTATAAAATTGAGAATGCTATAACGAACGAAACTCCTACAACGAACATTATTTTAAAAAAAAAAATTTTTTTTTTTACTAATTTGTTTTTTATTACAAGTATTAATGATATTCTTTATTTCAGGGGTTTAGATGCATATGTATGCACTTTTTTAAAAAATTTTCAATTTTATATTATATATTTCATTGTTAAGTGGTTGTATTTGGGGGCCTCGAACGGATTAATCCTATAACGAACGAATGCTATAACGAACAAGGTTCCAGAACCAATTAGATTCGTTATAGCATACCCCACCCCACTGTAATTACTATAAAAATCATGGTAGCATTTATATTTTAATACAGTACAGTGTTATTTATGACACACACACACACCCTATTACTTCTTCATATTCTGGGTGAAGTGCATACAAGGGGGGGATACTTAGTGGTTGCTTCGTTTATATGTTCATTTTCTTGCACATGTCAAATATGATATTTGTAAGGGTACTATTTCAGATACCCTTATGAAAATGAAATTTGGACACAATAGCGACGAAGTGCTTTGAATTAAAAACATTTTTTCACCGCTTATGGTATAGATTTATTTTTTATTACATATGCACTCTTGTCACTTTATGCCTGCTTTTCACTCACAATTATAAGGGGGTGCCACTTGTAAATCATAAAAGGACACTAAAATTAAGCAAATTAGTACCTGTATGACATGCACATGAGGTGACTGGCCGGAAGTCTGGGGACGTGAAGAAACTTTGCCCAGGGCACATCCAGAACATGTTCTTCTATTAGCTACTGTATGTTAAATGGGATTTAGATGTGGTTTTGGGAAAAAAAATTCTAATTAGTGAATAATATACTGTAACAGCAAAAGCATATTTTGTGAATGCTGGTTAACCAAAGAATAACTTCGTATATGAAGTTAGGTGCCAGTTTGAAGTTTAATATAAATACAGTACAGCTCCTCCCCGACTTACGACCTACTCGACTTACGACCACCCGGACATACGACCGCCTCAGTCATACCAAAATTTTGTCAAATTACGTATTTTCGAGACCCAACATCAGTCATTGCGCTGTGCACTGACAAAATTTTCGTTTGTAATTCACTTTAAAATGGCTGGCAAGCTTAAAAGTGAGAGTTTTGTGGTGCTGAGAAGAAAAAGAGACACCCATTTTAGATTTTCTATGTATTATTTAAGCATTTTCGACTTACGGCCTGAATTTTGGTCCCTAACCCCGTCGTAAGTCGGGGAGGAGTTGTACCTGTAGTATTGAAGCAAAAGTTTAATGATAATCTATTTTGGGAGGTTTTAAGGTACATTATTTACCAAAGTTGTGGCTTTCATATAAATTGTAAAAAAATTTAATGTCGAGTAAAGTTTCTGATCAATAAATAATTTGCATAATTCTTCTAACAGATTTGTGACTTCTCAGATTATTTATTTATTTATTTATTTATTAAAGGGATGAAACCCCATATCAAATTCAAAAGTCCATGTGTTGCTTTTTTGTTTTTACCCTCATTGTCATTTATATCCAATATTTTTTCCTTACAAGCTCTAACCAACAACTGATATATGCGAGTTGATAATGATAACTGTTACTTTGTCAGCATTCGTAATGCGACTGTCAGGAAAACTGAATCTCTCTGTATCTTACAACTCTCTTTGGGGATATTTAAAGGAGAAACTTTCAGCACAGATATATCACACAGTAGAGGAGTTAAACAGTCATTCAGTGGTGCCTTTCACTTATTTTTTTATTTTTTTTTCCCCTCTACAGGGAATAGCCCACCCGGGCACAGGTCATTGACCCACAACGGGGCCTAGGAGTAAAAAAAAATAAGAGCAAAAATAAATTAAAAATAGAAAAGGTTCAATGAACATTAAGGTGTATCATTCTCTGCTATGAAAAACATCATTCTCAAACTGTTCCTCTGGGCACTTACTGTATATGTGTACAGGTATTAAATCTCATCTTATGTGCAAAAATTAAGCAAATCAGAAGAACAGTAATTGTTTTTATAATTAATTCACATGTTTCAGATGTTAGATATTACAATATACAGAGTACTGTAGAATAATAGCCATAATAGGATGCATCAGTGACCAGTGAATTAGTATCAATTATTTCAGTACAGGACACAAGTGGCATTATTAAAAAGTCTTATTTATTTCAGCTTGTGAAATTAAGATCAGAATGCAAGCGGCTATCAGCTAAGATCAAAGAAAAAGACGACGAAGCGAGGCAAATGATACGGTTAGCTGAGGAAAGGAGGTTTGTTTAACTTGGGTCAATCTTTTGATCTTCGATTTAACATTCATCCCTTCATTTAATGTTACTCTTGTCTAAAATGATGATATAGTATAATTACAGTAAACCCAATTATCTGATTTTAATTATGGTGCTTGTATAATTTAATAGGATTTAGTAATACAGTGCAAGAGCCTTTAACTCAAATTCTGAAGATTGATTCATTTATGTACTGTACATTCACAGTTTCAATGAGTCGTGAAATATAGTCTTGGGTACTGTATTTTAAGCAATACCTTTACAGTACATCATAACAGGATGTATTTAACAAACAATTAAATCTCCATTGGCAATAATACATTCTAAGAAAAGTTGTAAAACTGAATAGAAATTAATTACAAGTAAATTTATTCCCGAATTCTTTTTAACTCTGGCACATAAGATTGTTTTGAAATTGGCACATTACTTTTTCATATACGTAATTTTAATTGTTATCAGTCATTATCCAGTGAATTTACAGTATCTTTGTATTGTATTACTGTACTATATTATCACTTACTTGGTAGTTTAACCACTTACCTTTGAAAAACACTTATCAATCTGTTGCACTTCCATAAACGTATTACGCTGTATACATAAAAATTCCCTTCATTTTAGTACTTTATTGACTCGAACTGTAGGAGAGGCTAATGGACCAGTGAGAGAGTGCACTGAGCCAGGACCTTGGGGAGCAGCACTGCATTTAACTTAACATGTTATACAGTGAATCTGCAGGAGTGAGAATATATTTAGGAGTCTTATTAACTGTTAATCTTTGCTTAATAATTCCTTTGCTTACCTCATTTACCTCCCCAACCAGTCATCTGCTAGGAGGGCAGACCACCAGCTTTCAAATTTTTTATTTTTCCTTATTTTTCTTCCCCTAACCACCTTCCACTTTCTAAGCTTTCTTACCTATACGAGGCACTCCATACCATAATCTTGAAAGAGCCATATATCATGGAAATGTGTTATGCATAGCATTGAATTCCCCAACCCTTTCTGTATCCCCTGAGTAAGTGAGTGAGCTGATTGGGAACTTGTACATGTGGATGAGAGTCCTCTGAAAAGACTATTGTATATTGCACATTCTATCTGAGTGAGCAAGCTTACACAACCCTTGCTGGCAGACAGCCAACCAGAACGATCATATTCACCATCTTCATGACGTGGCACATGACGTACTTGCTTATGTAATTTTTTGCCAGTGGGAGCTTTAATTGTCATAAGGTTTCAGCCAATTACAAGCCAATATTCTCATTTATATTTGGAGTCATCCATCAACCATGCAGCGAGAATGCTGCGTAGCTTTGATTGTGTTATCTTGAGTTGTACACACTTGGTTTATATTGCCTCTATTTTGCCCTATTTCTTCAATTAATTGTTGTAGCCAAAATGAGTAATTCTAGTGTATGCATTCATTCAGAAACTAGTGTAGTGCATAAAGTACCTTTTTAGGCATAGGAACTAAAAAATTCCAGCTGCTCGAGGTAGCCTGCATCCCTTCAACTATGCATACACTGTTGTGTATGAAAATACTAAATATCCTGTGCAATAATTATGACCAACTCGTGGATTCTGTGGAAATGTCACACTGAGTCGGAGCTGTGTCTGGTACATCAAATAGGGATGGATATCAATTTTATTAAATTTAGCATAAATCCATTTCTTTATTATTCATGTGTTTAAACCTCTCGCGCATCAGGACACGAATTGCGTCAAATCATTGGGTAGAACTATTTGCATTGGTGATGCAAATCACATCGTTACACTTTAAACCCCTCCAAAGTTTTCAAGGTAATTGCGTCAAATTTTTGTGGGTTCCGCTGTCAATTTGTTTCCTCCCGTTAGCCTTGCTGGTAGGTTGCATTTGTCTCCCTTATTTTCTCTTGCCCTCCCCACAATTATTTACATCAAAATTCCAAAGCCACTGTTCGAAAGCTCATAAAAATCTGCTTCAATAACTGTGATATTGTACTATACCTTGGTAGGAGTGAGAGAAAATATGAGATAAGATGCTGGGATTTTTTTTTTTTTTATTGGGAGTGAAAAAAAAAGAAGAAAAGAAGCCAAAACAATACTGTAGCCAGTGTGTGTAAATCATGAAATAAAAAAATTCTTGAGATAAATTGGCCACTGAACGATAATGACTGGACCTCGCGAGTGGCCCCAAACTTAAAAACTTTTTGCGTGCGTGATAGGGGTTAATAATACTGTACATTCTAATTAAAGTTATATTACTCAGAAAACATAATACTACACTGTAGTAAGATCTCATATTTCGCGAGCACTACCTAATGTAACCAAGTCTTATATTTGGCATAAAATATCGTGAGTTTCGCGAGATCCAGCAAGCTGAATGCTGGCCACCGTCTTGAATAGCGTCACAGCCTTCATACCAGTTAGTCATTTCTTTTACAACGCGTGTTTTGTCAAAGTGAATTGGTTGTAACGTGATTGATGAATAGGGGAACGCTGTTTGTAAAATGCGAACTTTTGCATATAAATGTTGGCTGAAGCGCAATTCTATCCTCAATGTTTTGATCCCATCCTCAACGTATTAAGATTGGCGCGGATTTATGCAATGTTTACAGTTCACGTTTGACATCACATGTTCAATTGATTCGTGTCTTTTGTTTGTGAAGTGTTTTTTGAGAGGTACTCTGTAAATTTTTTCTTTTTTTTTTTTGCAAATTTAGGTTACCCATAAATACTGTATGAAAAGAATAAGTAAAAAGAATGTTTCACAGTGAGGACTAATAACGGTGTAAACCAGCGCTCTCTGTTTACATCACGTGATCAGTTGAATCGCACGGTTTCTGTCGATTACTCCGTGATTTTCACTGTTTTCTCCAATTTTGTTGTTTTAGCAATGAATGTGGGAAAACAAGGTAAAAGAATGTTTCCAAGAAGCGTTCTGGTGATCGAATTGCCAGTGGTGAACGTAAAAGAGGTTTACAAGAAAGCAACTATCGCGTTGTAGCCCGCACCATCCTAGCGACCGCCCGGGCTGCTATCGTGTGCTTTTTTTTTGGGTGGTGTTACCACCTGTCGAGTCATGATAATGGCCTCTACCTCTACTGGGGGTCCTACTGGTGCTGGTGGGGGTGGGACAGACTCACCTAAGCGGCCAAATAAGGAAAAGGAGAAGCGGGACTATCATAAGGGAGTTAAGTTTGCCAAGTACTCGATGCAGGATAAGCAGTGTGTGATTAAGTTACTTGAGGAAGGCCTAAAAACAAGTTTCCAGAAAGCACAATCAGGTCAATAAGGGCAGAATTTGTATCATTTGGAGTTTATAAATGGGAAAATCAGAGGTTGATGTAAAGTGACCAGTCTATTTTGTTATTTTTCCCATTAGTTTATGTATTTGCATTTGGCAAATTTGAATTTGGCACAATTTTTCCAGTCTACTGTATATTACTCACGAAATACAAGATCTTGCTGTATTTTATCGTTGATATTGTTATTTATACTTACTTTTGTTAGAAGTTTTTCTTTTTTGTTATATTGCCTAGAATTCCATGTCCTTAGTTAATTATACAGTACATGAAAAGTCAGTCAGTCATATTTTTTTGGTTAAAAGGTTATTGTTTTCCTCTCGTTCCTATTTTAGCAATTAGCATATTATGGTCTGGAGTGCCTTGCATCATGCATTAGCAATAATTTTAGTTAAGTCAGGAAGAATGTTATTTGTTTTTTGTTTTTTCACACATTAATTTGTTTGCTCTCACCTTGGTAACCTAATGTTGCCAATTTCACCATATTTTCACATGCTTTCACACTTTGTATTTCTGCTGTGTAGTATTTATATGCAACAGACCTGGACTCTACTCCAAATTAACTCATTTATATGCTGTATGAAGGAAGCCTTGAGTTATTAATAAAGTTGTAACCTAGAGTTTTCTAGGCAAGTTACTTACTGTAATTTATTTTATTTACAGGAATAAATATATGATTCTTCAGTCAGAGATGAATTCCATGCAATCTCGAACACGTGATATGATGGTTTGCCAAGGAGCAGAAGTGTCTGGTGCAGCTGTAGCTCTTGCTAATTTGTCCTCACGTTTGAACACCTTAATTGGCAAGCTTGTACAAGATTATTCTATAACTGAAACTGACCTTGAGGTATGGCATGTTCATTACTCACATACAGTTGGACCTTGAAAACTAGCATTCACCTTGACATTGTGTATGGTATTTTAGGTGCCCCCCTCCCTCCCCCCCCTTGGCAGAAAATTGCAAGAAACTGTCTTTAATAACCAGCTGTAAATACTTAGGGAAATGTTTTTGTTTTTTTCAGATATATTTAATTCTTATACAGTAACTTTTTTTTTGTTACTCAAGGAAGATTTGGGTTTGATAGCACTTGATGAGATCTTGTTCTTCATCCTGGTTTATCAAAAGTTCTTAAGGAGAAAACAAGAATTTTGTGTTCTCTACTTTGTTCACCATTGATATGAGACACATGGTGCTGTGGATATCATGAGAGACTAGGATGTAAATAATTGGTAAAAATAGTACTACAGTATATAAATTCATGGATGAATGGTAGGAGGGGGAAGAAGAGATGGAAGGATGATCTACCTGATCTACATCCAGGAAGCACAGTCCTTACACCCTCGACCAGAGAACAGTACTGTACTGTATACCCAAAACAAGTAAATAAAATGGTATGTTGTTTGTGGAAATTGACACAGGCTACTATTTAACTAAATTGTGCCTTTATATACAGGTAACTCATGGAATTTGATAAGTTAATGTCCAGTACAGTACAGTACTGTATTTTAAATGTATCGTGAGTTCTGAATATTGAAGTGGGTATATTTTATTCAGGACAAGTGCCGAAAGTCTGAGCAAAATCCCTGCAACACAAAACCAGCTGATGACTGTGCACAGTACTTATTGCATCTTTTTTTTTCTATTTAAAATTGTTGGTGCTCTGGAACTTCTAGGAATCCAAGATTTTAATATACATGATGGGAGACGACAATTAACTACCACAACTCGCTTTAGTGAATTTTGAGAACTGATACATCACCAGGTCATTGTATGGTAATGTAACGTTAGTGAAAATCACCAGAGAGATGGATAGTACAGTATTACCTGACCCTATTTTACCTCACAGCTTACTACCACATAGCCACTACACACCACCAGGCCACTTCAGTGGTGAGGTAACATTAACCATACACCTCTATAATTCACCTTGTGCTCAGCTGCCTGGGCAGTGAAATGCATATTTAGATGTTGCATATACTGTAATTGATATTGCTCTACTGTCCTGTATATGCAATTTTATATTGATAGTACTACAGTACATTACCTTTTTTTACACCATGTGACAATATTCGAGTTCCTCAAAAACTAAAATCATCGAGAATAATTTCTAGAAAAGAAATAGTGACTACCTTTACAGTCTTGATATTACTTGGTGTAAACGCTTTCTTGTTGTACTGTATTTTAGTGATGTCCTCTAACTGATATTGAGAGATTGGAGATACATCATTTATGCTGTGATTTCTTCTGTAAGTCATGAAATGGTGAAATTTATCTCAAACATTTGAATGCCCCTGTACAGATGATTGTCACTCCAAATGAATCGGACAGTAGTGCCTCCTCTACTAATGGAACACCAGAGCACAAGTCTCCCTACAAGATTTCTGTTCGAAGTCCTTCTCCTCGTAAAACTGCTTCATTTATAACTGCTCTCATAAATGCTATGAGATTGGGACCAAAAGGCAAATTAAATCAATCTGGGGGTCTGTTGCCATGCAATGGCAAGAAACAGGTAAAAAAAATGTATTGCAATTTCTCATGTGAATTGAGAAATATTTTGAGTATAAAAGATTTTTTATTTTACTTTATATAAAAATTGTTCCCTAAAAGACAGTTGTCTTGTCATTTTCAGGAAACAGAAGGAAGGAATTCTCCTGAAGGCTCAGAGAGCCATGAGGTTGTGGAACATGATGGTAATAGTGGACCCTCAAGTAGCAGCAGTGTTTCTCTAACAGACCAAGTAACAGATGTAGATATTCTCCTCACACAGTTTCTCAAAGTTTGCTGTGTTCTGAAGAATGATACAGATAATCGTCTCATGGAGATTGAAGATGAGAAGTGAGTAGGGAAAGTTTAATTCTACCATCATGCTTTGAGAAAAAAAAGGCTTATTAACATAAATAGGTTGATTAACATTATCCTTGTCACTTTATTTGTAAATTAAGATCCATTTAGGTAATTTTAACTTATTTAAACTTTTTATCAACCAACTCAAAGAATGGGATGGCATAGTAATCATGTACTGTATATATGTAAAGGTCTCTTCTTTAATGATGGGCAGTATAAGTATGAAATTTGTTCATTATTGTAGAAGTTATTGCTTCAAATTTGGGGCTGATTGGACATGATAGTCAGGAGATGTAGTAGGTGGAACACTGCTCAACATTGAGTTGTGGGGAGAATTGCTGTCCTCTGATTTGCTTGTTAAGTTTGTACTTTACCCAGTGCAAGGTTCCAAGTGACATCAGTGATATTTTAGGAGATAAGGAATTCTCATTTTACTTTGTAGTTTTCAACTTTTATACAGAGCTATACTGCACATTTGCCAACACCTGCATCTTCATGAACCCCAGAGACTCAGAGACTTGTGAAACCAAACAGATCTGTGACTCTCAAGGTCATGAAGAGGCAGGTGAGATGGCAGGACCTTTATTGGTAAGTTTACATTAATTGTCTTTACACTTTTTCTCAGAAAATATATGATTCTATTTAGTAATTATTTTAAGAAAATTATATATTGACATTTTAAACATTACAGCGATCGCCTCTGCAACCAGATTCGGTCTCAGCAGCAAGTTATTGACCAGCAGCAGGCTGATTATGAAAACTTGAATCGTTCAGAATCACGAGCCAAACGGGAGCTGATGGTTGCTTCTCGAGATTTGGAAATAGCAAATCAGAGCCTCAACAAATTTTACCAAGCTGATTACGAATTACAAGTCAAGGTAACTTATTTAACTTTTTGTTGTGAATCTCATTCCTTGTTCAACTGGATTTTTTTTATACAGTATAACAATTTTACATTATTGCCTGTTTGAAATTTATATATCCATAATTTTTTGTACCTCTGCCTAACCAAACTGCTTTATCATCAGAAATTGCAGGATGAAGTTGAGCGTCTAGGAGCAACAATACGTCACCTTGAGGTTTTGCACACTGAGAAAGAAAAACAATTGGAAGAATCTCTTTCTTCCTTGTCTGCTGCTCAGGGTCCTGCTCCACCCAACCATGTCTCAGAGGCTACTCACCAGCAGGAGATTGCCACCCTAAATGATAAGGTTTGATATTGGAACAAAGAATTATTGAGGCTGAATCTTAGCACTGTTAGTTTTACTTTTTACCCTTTGTTTTAAAATTTTTGTTCTAGTTTTTACTTCAACTCTTGTAACTTTCCAAGACTTGTATTAATTGTTAAGCCTTTCTCCCACCATTAGTTTGAACCTCTAGCTCTGGTGCTTAATCTTCCAGCTTCTATTTTTTTTCTACTTTCCAGTGCAAAAGATTAAGCTGTTTATTTTAATGTTGAAAATTTTTATTTTACATTAGTTTCATTTTGCTATTACAGAAAAATAATTTATTTTTATATAAGGTAATCTAGCAATGGCACTGGATGTGTAGATGTGTAATATTGTTATTTTACCATACACTTGTCTTAAATATTGTTATTTTACCATACACTTGTCTTAAACTGTCTTATACTATACTAGTCTTACACTGAAGTATTTGTCAAGTTTTAAGTTATTGATGATTATGTTTAGTTCTATGTTCCAACTACGGTTTAAGTTATCTCCACTGCACCAAGGTAATGACATTAACTGTATCGTTTAATGTGCATACATTTTATACCTATTATATTGAAGTAATTGGAATGACTGTATTGGGCAGGAAGACATTTTATGTTTAATAAAATTTGCTATGGCAAATCATATAAAATAAATAGAAAAGTAATACAGCATGCCCTGACAATTCGCAGACCTTGATTATTCACAGATGACACCCTGGATGTACCTAAGAATGTCTAGGGTAGTTTTAAAGTTGATGGCATTTTGCGGTCAGGACAGGGAGCTATTCGTTCTAGAGACAGGTTTTTTATTTTACCTGTATTGTATATGCGTGTATGTGTAAACACACACACAAAAACATACAAATAAATAATAATAGGAAAATACTCTCACAAACATTCAGAAACAAGACAACAAAATTTAGAAAAAATGAGTCTACCCTCAAGTCAACTCCGTGCTTTGTTATTAAAGTTATAACAAAGCACGGAGTTGACTTGAGGGTAGACACATATTTTTAATTAATTTTGTCGTCTTGTTTCTGAGTACAGTATTTGTGAGAGGATTTTCCCATTAATATTTATTTGTATGTCTTTTGAGAGAGAGAGAGAGAGAGAGAGAGAGAGAGATATCTCCTAAGGGCAAACACATAAAGGGAATATACATTTCCTTACCAGAGTAAAAATGTACAAACAACCCCCCTCCCCTGGTCAGCAAATGTTATTTGCGGCTATTTTGAAAACCTAACCGCCGCGAATTTTAAGGGCATGCTGTACTGTATTATATATGGTTTGGTAATGTGTCTGTAGTTGACTTCAGGAAACTTATTATAAGTACAGTACAATATTGTACAAAATGTGTCAAAGTAATGATTTTGGCATGTGTCAAGACAGCTGAGGAGCTGTGGCACCCCTGCAATATAAATAACTCGTAGAGAGAAGGTGTAAGAGAATGAAGTCTTAGGAGGTTTGGTAAATTTTATTTTTATTTCCTTCATTGATGGGAAGTTGATCCCCAATTTGCCTGGTGAGTTACTAGAATAAACCCTGCAAAGTTTGATGGGGTCACATGGATTAATACCCTTTTTATATAATTATAACTCTGGTTTCGATTTTAGGATCAATCCCAGGACACAGTAATGAGAGGCAAGTTGGTTCTCGAAAATTAGTAATAGCAGCATGGGATGTCATGATTACAGTTCTGTCATAACAGTAACTAAAACTAATTATTCTGCCTTCTGCTTTTGACCCCACATTTTAGTATTCACTAATTGAAATTTTGAAATAATAATTAATTGTGATTTTTTTTCTTGAAGGTTACATCCTTGCGGCAGAGTGTGATTGAGCGCGATAGGAGAGTTAATGAGCTGAGTGAACGACATTCACAAGATCTTGCAACCGTCCGTGAGTGTCAAATTGAAGCTCACCGAAGTAATCGTCGCCTCACAACTACTGTTGACCATGTTTTAAAGGTATGATTATTTATTACATTAATATTTTATGAGACAAGATGTACTCATTTCATACTGCTGGAAGTAATGTGTACTGTATTAGGCATGCTATATGCTTTAATATAGGCAGGTACTCATATTTTAATGTTCACATCTTCCTGTTGGTGGTGTAAGTTCCATAAATGCTTCAATTATTTGTCTTTCTTTCTTTTCAGGCAGTATGTTTAATTCCACTGATTTTGCTGTTTTGTTTAATTGCTAGCACACACTGTAGTGGGGAGTACCATATTACTGTACTTATTTGTATAAGTTATTTATATTTAGTACCAAAGGCATCATACCTGTGTATCCAGTTCTTCATCAGTCACTTGACTACTAGATAGCCATTGTTTATATGCATTTTTTTTAATTAGTATTCTATAGATTTTTTATATGAAAGCAATGAAGGAGTTACATTAATATACTGTATTCATAAAAGTGAAATGTGACATAACTAATCTGCACAGACTGAAACCAAAGTTTCTTAACTAGAGGATAACAACACTTAATGTCTTTCTGAACTACTCCACTACTCACAAACACAGCCAGTTGAGTCACATGGAAAAACCCTGCCTAAGGCTTTCCATAAGATCAGACCATATAACCCTCGAGTCCCCAGGTCAGTCTAGCCTTGCATAGTATGAGGTAGTGCTGTTAGCTTTGCTTTGCTATTGGCAGTTGGTGGTAAACATTATACTGAGTGTTAAAAAGAAAGTACCTGTACAGTGTTACAAAAATTTTAGTGAATCCCATTGAATTTATCAAGTGAAACAGTTTAGTTTATCAGATTTCTTTGAAGTTCTTATTTTTAAGGTGGACTGCTGTCTTAATTGCATCTTCATACACTATTTAAATTTTTTCCCACAAGGGTATTTTTTAAATTACTTTTTTAAGTTGCACTTAATGCATACTTATACATTCAATACAGTGCTATGGCTAAGTTTGCAATTGCTCATGATTAGAAAGAGAGAAAACATGTACTGTTCACTTTTGTAGTGCTCATGCTTACACTGTAAATATTAAATACTTAAGACATTCATCATATATATAAAAAGTGACAAGGAATGAAATTATTTTCAAGGTAGTATTGTACAGTATTGTTTCTTATGTGGATGCTTCTCTTGAAAATCATGTCAGCTCAACTTGTCTGTTTATTAGACAGATTTCATTACTTCAAATAAGTTAATTGAAAAAGCCATGTGAAATTTTCTCCATTTGAATATTCCATAATGTGCTGAATAATTATATTAATTAAGGTCTCAGCAGCTGACCTGACATGCTCTCTTGTGATGAATTTAGGAATGAGAACTTATTACTCTTTGCTGTTGCTCAATAAACTTATATGGGTATTTTTCCAATAAGTAGATCAGTTTATTTCTGGTTTCTAGTGAAACATTACCAAGGGAAAACAATGGGAAACACTTTGACACTAATGCATATTATCTCACAATGTATGTGCATCTGCTTGCTTAGGTCTCCATCACCCTTTTCACGGTTTCTTTTTTCCTCGGTACATTTAGTAATTGTTTCATGTGTGTCAAAGCCAAACCAACTTGCAAAACTCGTGTTGCTCTGGGCAAGCTGTGCATGTGTCCACCTTAAGGGCCTTACAAGAAACAAGGCATAGTATTCTTGTTACTTTCTGTAATTTTTTAGTTTTGTTTTTATTTTATTTTTTTTTCAGTATAGTACAGTACAGTACTGTCATCTGCTTTATAAAATATAGCTGAGTAAAGTTGGTGTTTTGTTGTGTCTGGTGAGTGAAATATTATAGTTGTTTATCATTAGTCTATTCATTTTCTTTTGAAATTCTATTTTTGAGAAAGTAGTACTACCATCTAATGCCAGAAACACTTATAAACCAAACCTCGGCACCATCACAGCAATATGAATATAAATTCTGAAAATTGAGTCTCAAAGGATGACTTATGCTGTGTTTCTAAGGACAATATTCTTACTTACCATGTAGAGGGGTTTCATGATTAATATTTCTGTACGGAAGGGCGACATTTGCAATATAATGTAGCTGGGCTGGGAATACCAGGTTTTGTATCTCAGGTTACCTTTCTATAAGATAGAATTATAATTCCTTTTTGGGAATATCATTTCTTGGAATATATTGATTATCTCAGTGCTACCCCAGCTTTTATGGGTAAGATTCTGGTTCTGGATTTAGTAAGAGACACACTCCAGGCTGACTGCCAATTACTTGCCAAATAACTCTTGGAATAATTTTGTTTATAATAAAACTAATACTTGCCACCTGTAATATTTTTATAGTGATTTTTAGCATTTTCAGTTACTGATTATGCTAAAGTAGTTATCATCATTGTCATTTTATAACCAGTTACCACGTATGTTTGAGTTCACCATGATTATCTGAGGGCAGCTCTCCATGCTGCACTGTCTCTTGTAGCCTCTTTGTCAGGTTCTTAACTTGAGATCATGTCTTATAACCTCTCCCCATGTCATTCTTGGCTTACCCCTGACTCATCTCACCTCCACATTCAGACTCATGCACCTCTCGACCCAATTTGTCTCCTCCATTCTCACCATATGCCCGAACCACCTCGGCATATCAACGCAAAACCTCTCAAATACTCTCAATAATCAGATGCCCTCTTAGCTCTGAACAGTTTCCTATCTTTCAGTGTTACAGTACACATTCACATCAATTCATCTTGCTCATGCTTGCATATATTGTCCCCTTTAACTCTGTCCATGTTTTACCGTCATACAGCATCACACTTCTCACACCAGTTACATATATCTTTCTTTATACACAAAGAGAAGGTCCTCTAGCCTTTTATAAAGGCAGGAATTCCCTAAACTTCCTCCAGTCATTTCTGACTCTTGCAATGAAGCTAGCTTAAGCACTGATCAAGTCACCTAGGTAGCATAACTCATTGATAGTCCGGGGATATATCCCCAATGTTGAGTGCCTTGGCTAGGTCGCATGATTGCCTGTACATACAGAACACTTAAAGTCAACATCATCATGCAGTCTGTCGTCCACTCCATTCTTGTATACCCACCTTCCTCACTCACTGCACATTATTGCGGTACTTACAGACAGTACTTTCCACCACATTCACTCTCAGGCCCTTTTAACTCAATTCCTTCCTTCCATTTCTTACTGTCCTAAAAGTCCCACGATATTGCCTCCAACACTATGAGAAACCTCAAAATTCTTCACGTTCTTCGCTTTTGAGCCTTCATATAATGCCAAAACCACTCAAACACAGCACTCCTCAACCCCTTGGCTGTCTCATTGCCCACTTTACTACTTATGTGGTTTCCTGTCAAATGCCTTCTCAGTCTACAAATACAAAGCACAGCTTTCCCTCATTCCCTAGATATTTCTCATTAGGTAATCAAAGACTAATCACTCACTTTGGTCATCATCAAAGTTTCAGTCATTTTCCACATTTCATGAGTTATTCATACATAAAACACATTTGAAAACCCTGAGAGATAAGGGTCTGGGTCAAAAGATGGAATATGGATTTTCATTAGTTCTAATGCCCTAACTACTCTCTCTTTTAGTGACATAGTAATGGGGTCTAGGGGGCACATGAACAACAAATTTCCCCAGAATTTAGCTGTTCCCATAAGATCAATAAAATGTTTTTGTTATGCTTTAAATCAAATAGTGATATCTCCGTTAGCCGAAACAATTGGTGCAGAGCACTTTCGGGAATGAGAGATTTCCGGCTAATGAGATGACACTCTCAAACCCGGAAAAATCCCTTATTCCTGGAATTTTCCGTGTAATGGAAAATTATTCTTGGAAGTTCCAGAAATTACGCATTACATCATCTCTTGAACTCGGAAAAATATCTCCCATCCCCAGAATTTTCTGGGTACAGTAGGGTCGGGATATATTGCGACTTTATATAATGATTTTTTATATCGCAGCTACCCAAATTATCGAAGTTTTCCTATATATACAGCGATAATTTTTTTATTTCACGAGGGAAATCGGGCAGGAAAATTTCAAATGTACCGCCATGGCAAACAAATGCGTTATTTGCTCACCAGAGGTGCCACCGTGGCTGCTCACTCACACATTCATGCTCACCTGCTCAGTCTTTCTTAGTGAGTGACGAGAAAGCAGCCGACTCTGCTGCAGATTACGACGTGTAAGGTTTTCCAAAGCCGGAATTTTCCGGAAAATTCCGGCTTTAGGAATGATTTTCCGTGAAAATTTCAATTCTGGCTATCGGAGGTGTTCCGAGTTTGAGGGATTCTGGCTAACGGAGATATTACTGTATAACCCCGTTCATCACATCTTTTTCCTTGAGAGTAATTGTCTTCTACAATGTGCCACTATTACTTATTCTTTCACAGACCAGATACAGGAAAGCCTCCAATAACGACGGTTCTGCTAACGACAATTCATATTTAAGACCCTGGTTAATTTAGGACCCAATTCAATTTATATGGCATTATTTTCTTCGTACTTACGACGAAAATAGAATAAAATATATATAGATTTTTATTTAAATAACAACTCAATCCCGATATGTATTTAAAAAAAAAAAAAAAAAAAAACTTGTGCACAGAGGTTGCCAGGCTTGTGAGTGGTGACGCCAACATCACTAGTATAACAGTCGCAGCTGGCGGGCCCTTTGTTTTCACACATCTGAACAGGAAAAGAAGAAAAACATTCTCGGATTTCTTACGGCATTTTTGCGTCCCTATTCAACATGAGCAAGAGAGCGAGTGATGGTAGTGCTGGTTCAAAAGCTAAAAGAAAGTGTACAAGTCTTACAGTATTTAAAACATATATGAACAATAAATAGGTGTTGCTTTCATATTCTTATGTAGAGAAATGACAATATGTTTTCACATGCACGTAATTACATACATTGGCGGTCTCAATCCGTCTCGCTTTTTTATTTTATCATTACTGGTTAGCTACTTCTATTATTCCATTTATTAACCTCAAACAACATTACTTAAAATATACATACGAGTATTCATTTTTTTACATTAAGTTCACTACAGCTACAACCAGTCTTATTTTCTTCAGTAAAACCATCATCACCCACGAAAACAATGCCGTCTCGTCTCCTCTTGTGTCTTTTAATAATCCAAGTAGTATTAATGAATTGTATTGTTCATTTTGCATATATAAAGACTTATTCAATCAAATACATATTCAGTAATAAACAATAATGAATCTTTTTTACATATTCTTAATAAGATAAATGACGCTGTTTCCTTGAATGCGCACGTATATTTTGGCATTCCCAATCCATCTCGCTTTTTTCTTTGCCATTAGTGGTTCGTTACTTCCATTGTTCCATTTATTAACATTAAGTAACATTACTTAAAACATATACGAATATTAATTTTTTTAAATTAATTTTAGTACAGCTACAACTTGGGTCTTATTTTCTTATGTAGAACCATTGTCCCGGGTGTAAACACTAAGGAAAATAATGGTGTGACCATATTATTATTAATTTATATTGTATAAGGCGCAATCATAAACATTATTTAAAGAATATAGTTTGCATTTTTTCATTAATTTTATTGTTTGGGGGGAAACGAGGGTAAAAAGCCACACAAAAGATATGAAAAGGTCACACTTGGGAACGCATCTCATTATTATTGCTTTATTTTAATGGTAATTAATGATTCACAATACGATGATTCACCTTGCACTGCAATATTGGAGGACACCTTACCATCGTTATTTGAGGCTTTATTGTAATCATGGCATTATGGTAAGATACACCATGAATGGGAGTTTAGTTCTATTTGTACATATAAATATTGTACATATGTAAGTAAGGATTTGTCCACTTCAATTACAACCATGAAATTTTTTTGAGTAATTATAGTTCTGTAATAGCTGAAGTTTAATATCATACAATGCCAGATGCACTATTAAATTTAAGGTACACTACAGATGTATTCTGTTTTCCAGTTTATCATTTTGTTCCAATATTCATTAGCGGAGACAAAATTTGTGTACTATAATCAAAATAATAATGTATAAATGGTTTCATCATCAAATGGGAGATTTATGAATCTTTTAATGTGAAACAATACAGTAGTCAATTATGTTGTAATTGTATCCAAGAAGATAAAACTGTTTTTATTGATACACAAGTGCAATATTTTTATTTTACAGACTATGGAGAGCATCCCAGATATTGTCTCCAGTAACACGACCCTCAAACAGCTATTTGCCACTCTTGCGGCAGCTGAAAAGTCCAACCAGCAGCAGCAGAATGGGAACATTAATACTCAGAATGGCTTTGGAAACACAGTCAACAATAAAGACTTGAATGCTAATCCTCAGTCAATTATCGACTCTGGAATAAACAACCAAAAAATTTTAACCTCTATAAAGGCAGAAACTCACCTTTAAAGTGCTTATTTATTAAACTACTCCATATAGCGTTGTCCCTTTGAAAGAAAATGGCTTTAGTGTCTCTTCACCCGTGAATGTGACCAGAAAAGCTTTATTAGAATAAATAAGATGCACTTATTAATCCATATAAATGAGTTTGTTTTGTGTGCATTGTGACATTACGTGTCCATTTAGAAATGTAGTTTAGGATGCCGAGATAATGCGACATGTACATTCCTGTGACAATGTATGAAAGACATAGATGATTTCTTTTTACATTTGACTTCTTCAACAACTATATCTATAAATGTCAACAAGTCTCTACTCTGCTATTCATGCATAATGTATATGTGCACACACATTTTTCAGTATCTGTGTAATCCTATTTAAACAAAAAAGCAGGTAACCAATATAGTGGGCTTACGATCAGTCATTACATGATTATTCCTACCTGGCCTCAGTATTTTATGCTTTTAATGTAACACCAAAGCTTTCTCTTATAGATGTTGATTAAAAGCTTGAAACATGAGTGACATTAGATCTATTATAACTCTTGGCTCCCTGGGAATTATATTACTGTACTGTATTTCAAATAATACAGTACTGTACTTAATAGGTTTGACATGTACAGCAATACTGTATAATAAATACATTTTAGTTTTCAGTTTCAAAGGCAAGAGAAATTTCACAGCAAAGATTTAGCTAATCCAAAACTTTAGGTAAGATGTCAGCACATTATGCCAAAATAACCTGGGAAGGAATCTGAAGTATTAAAGTAAAAAAAAAAAAAAAACTGTTTGCAGTGCACATTAATTTATTGACATGAACTCCACATTTCAGTGTAATTATGCATGAAATTTTATACCTTCATCCAGCTAATAATAGGATATTTAAGCCTTGAACAGCATGACTCTGTACTCTAAAATGCATACATAAGAATATTAGTAACCATAATGCCTGCATCATATAACTTGCCTCGACAGCAACCAGTAACATGATAAAACACTGGTAAGGTGACAGATGCCCTCATCTACCTAAAACATGCAGAGCACCATTGTATTTATTAGTTTGGTCTTCTAAGAGTATCTATCTATGGTAGCCGGGGCATATACAGTATGTTAATCGTGTGTTATAGCAGCACAACTGTCAACCAAAGTCTTGTATTCTAGCTAACTAAGCTGAAGCATTTTGTTTTAACAGTTGCTTCAATATATTATTCTTAGTCTGTGATGGATCGAGGATTGATATTATCTTTTTTGAGCAGTTGTTTTAGGCTGTTTCTGGATGAAATTTAGACTTTGGAAAGGAATTATATTTCCAAAGCCTTTACTTTTGTGAATATTTTTTATGAATGTATTAAAATATTTTCTCTATTTTTTTCTTGATCAGTAATTATTTTACTGTAGATTTTTTATTAAATCTATTGAGATTGCCTATTGTAAATAAATAATGAGACATTAGTGTGATTGAAAATATTAGACGAGGACTTTTCTTTCTTTTTTTCCAATACAGTACAGTATAGATTAGTTTTATTGATCTCGTTTTGGTTTTGTTTGGCCCAATTGCCAGCCTTGTATTTTGTACTTAGAATTTAATAAAGAAATTTAAGTAGGCATGTTATTTTTAAAATGTCCTTCACATCACAATCATGACAACTATTTTACTATTGTTTTAATTAATCAGAAGAGAAATCTGTTCTGGAAGGAACTGAGCAAGATGAGGAATAATAAATCCCATGCAGAACATGTACAGAAATCTAAAAAGTTAATAAAGAAAACCCTGACATAAACAGTACATGATCCCCAAAGCTGTGAGTAATGTTAATATGAAAAAAAAAAAATCTTATACAGTACATTGAATGGTTATACAATACATGGAGTCTATAATTTGCAAGTGACATCATGCAGTGTGGGTATTATATATTACTTAGTGATTTAAGTTTTCATTGTCAAGGCATTTATAGTACCTGATCGATGTTCTTTTGTTTTCACTTTGTTTATATCTCAAGTATGTTTAAGCACTTATAGCTGTGCAACCTCATAAATACATCATCAAGGTAGAAAGTGTCTCTTTTTATTCTGCATCATCCAGTGAAGATGATGGGATGCATTAGCCTTGAGTATACAACATGTAGCAGTGTATAACACATTATCGCAGGAAAGCTGTGAAGACACAACAGTGGGTACCTTTCTTTTGTCATGCTATTTTAAGAGTGTTTGGCATTAAATGTTCCTTCCTCAGGTACAGTCATAATTTTGTGAATGTACACAATTTTTCCCATGCAAAAATAATTTTACTTAACATCTCCTCCTCATAAAAATACCTGTTTTCATAACATGCTACTTAATCATCGTAAGACCTTCCCTCATGAGCCAAACAAGTGCTGCATAACTAAACATACTAAGTTATTACAGGTAATCATCTACAGTACAGTAAAGCCTCCGATAACGGCGGTTCAACTAGCAAAGATTCATATCTAAGACCCTGGTTAATTTAGGACCCATTTCAATTTACGCCATTATTTTCTTCATATATACGACAAAAAAAAAATTATGAATAATAACCTTAATCCCGATATTATAAAAAAACCACGCCTTGCGCACGGAGGCTGCCAGGCTTAGTGGTGATGCCAGCATCACTAATATAAACAATCGCAGCTGGCAGGCCTTTTGTTTTCACGCATCTGGACAGGAAAAGGAGAAACTTTCTCAGGTTTCTTACAGCACTTTTGCATCCCTATCAACATGAGCAAGTGATGGTAGTGTTATTTCAAATGCTAATAGAAAGTGTATAAGCTTAACCGTGAAACTAGATGTGTTAAAACGATATGAAAAAGGTGAGAGGTCTGTGGATATATGGAGCAAGAAACGAACGTATTTTCTGAAGAGTATCTATTAAGCATTAAAATTTAAATAAATGCAAATGACCTCTACATAAAGATGTATAATAAGAAAAGAAAGCAGCTGTGCAAGGTTCTTTCAACAGCTTTATTATTTGAAGGCCTAAACCATCAACTTCAGCTACACCATCAAATTCAGCATCATAAGCAGCTTCAACAACAACTTCAGTAACCGTTTCAGCAACAGCTTTATGGAAAGTTACAGCTTCAGCCAGAGTTGAACCTGATGACTTCATCTGAGTAAAAACTCGCACATCATCATTGGCTGTCCTAATGTTTTAGACTATTGGTGAGTAGAATTTTTGTTTTACATTTGTAAGTATTATTTAAAACATATATGAACAGTAAATAAGTGTTGCTTTCATATTCATATGTAGAGAAATGACGATATGTTTTCACATACGTGCACTTACTGTAAACATTCGTTGACGTTCCCAATTGTCTCGCTTTATTTCTTTACCATTAGTGGTTAGCTACTTCTAGTGTTCTTAAAGAGCAATCAAGCATTGCAGAGAAAGATGCGATCTACAGAGAAGTATGCATAGTCACATCAAGCCACAGTGGGTAAATACTAAAGGACTGCTAAGGGAGTGGACTTCATATACTGTACAAAGGTAAATGAAAATATTATTTTTCACTACTTTTTTAGGTTATTTATCATATTTCTTCTTCTGATATTCAAAGTGAACAGTGTAGTGCACATGTTATACATAGGCTTATAGCACATTAATGCATTGGAAACAGTATATTGGAACAAATGGTTTATAAATAATGTAATGCATTGGGCCCAAAAAGACGGTTGCCATCGGGCAACGTAGTGGGGGGGGGGGTTGTACAAAGCTTGGGGATGTAAGCAGATATCTTTCATCCTTTGGAGCGTCCTCTCTTTTCAATCATCAGATATGGTAGCCCTAATATTCCATATCAGTTAGATATTATTGAGTACAGTATAATAAAATTTCACTTGTAGCCATTATACGAAATCGAAGTTAAAACTATGTTTTTCCAATGGTGTTTGATGTGTTATGAACGAATTTGACCTCTATTTCTGGCGTAAATCAATAGTTTCTGTTATAAGCCCCCCTTCTATCTCAGAATCTAGAAAATTGCTATAAAAATCAAGGTTAAAAAGTGTTCAAAACACATCGGAAGCCATCGAAAAACAAAACCCTAACCAACCAAACCTAACCTTGCTTAACCTAACTTAACCTAACATGATTGGGGAATTCCAGTTGTTCTGTTCTGGGTCGTTCAATGTTCTGGGTGTGTACCATCACGTACGAACCTACATAATAAAATGTTAAATATATCGCTTAAACGTAATTTGCACCAGAAATGCCATTGGAGAAAAGTGTCTTAGAATTCTTAAAACTACCGATTGCAAACATAAAATTCCCGAGATTCGTTTTGGGGCAACAAGTGAAAGTTGAATTTTCATACATAATAAAATGTTAAATATCTCGCTTACACGTAATTTGCGTCAGAAATGCCATTGAAGAAAAGTGTCTTGGAATTGTCAAAACTGTCGATTGCAAGTGGAAATTTCCTGATATCGTATAATGGCAACAAGTGAAATAATACCGCTTGATCAACATCGTGTTTAAAATACTAATACAGTCAACCAAAGATGCATCGACCTCACCCTGGCTCTCGTACTCGCAAATTTACCTGGAAACATTTGGTGAAATAAGGCTGTTTGTAATGGCGATTGTGATTGATAGATCTATTTTCGGTTGTATCACTGTCAGGATAAATGTTAAACAATTCAAAGGTAGCATTTTTATAGTATTAAACTATTTGCTGTTATTTAAGATCGTGAGAAGTTTTTAAATGTCCGTATATTTGCTTAAATAATGAAGAAATTATATTGATGAATTGGCAACTCAACTACAACCAGGGCTGACACAAGATTCGCACCAAATTTCTTTCATTATTTAAGCAAATATACGGACATTTAAAAACTTCTCACAATCGTAAATAACAGCAAATAGTTTAATACTATAAAAATGCTACCTTTGAATTGTTTAACATTTATCCTGACAGTGATACAACCGAAAATAGATCTATCAATCACAATCGCCATTACAAACAGCCTTACTTCACCAAATGTTTCCAGGTAAATTTGCGAGTACGAGAGCCAGGGTGAGGCCGATGCATCTTTGGTTGACTGTACACCAGACCCAAGCCGGGAATCGTACCCTGATAGCAGTAGTGAGAGGCAAGAAGTAAAAAAAAAAAAAAAAAAATGGGCGGTTTTGGTAATTACTGTCCGCCAGCCTTGGAGTAGTTCCGGTAGACCAAGGATTGTTACTATACTGTATAGTTCTTAGTACGCTAAATTACCTTTTTCTACCTACTTGTTTTGCTCGGCCTTAATTAATTTTGGTTAAAGCACAAGGGTTAATGATAATAAATAATAATAAGTGGGAAGGATCACTGGTGAAATGTAATTAGTAACTTTTTCTTCTGCTGAGTCCGGACTTCGTAAGTGTAAACATGAAGTCGTGATGCTGTTTTCTTATCAAAGTATATATCATAAAATACATTGGTATTATATTTCATTGAGTCTTATATTTCACTTTATACATCATATCAATGCTTATTTCACAACAAAATTTGTGTATAGCTCAAGAATTTATCAAAATTTTCAGCATTTCGGAGACGTCCAGCTCCCTTGATTGTTTGAAAACTTCTACATTGCTTTACCCTTTAAAGTACTCTATTTGCTGTAATGTTATTGAGAGCCATTTCAATTATATCCACTAATTACCGTTATAAAAAAGACTTTAACGTAAATATTAACACAGGACATGAATACCTGTTTTTGCTTTATATACAGGTATGTGTATAATAAAATGACTGACCAATTGTCAGTCACAGTAAGTATTTGATACATAATGATAAGTCAACTTATTAATGTAACACATAATTATGTCAACATGGGCCTGGCGTCCTCCCTTGGGTCGTTGGTTCGAACTTGTGATTCGGTTGGTTCGACTTCGATCACGAAAACTTGTAACTTGCTCAGCTGATCAGTTTGTTTCCAGCAGCGAGGCGTACCGGTGACGAACTCCGTGCTCTCCACTCTCACCTCCATCCATACCTTATAAGACCTGTTATTTGTGCTTGTGCGTGTGTGTCAAGGTAAACCATCGCTGGTGTGAGGCATTACTCGGAAGGCGCAACTCTTCACCAAGCGGAGGATCAGGTAAGCTAGTCATAAGGGCAGGTGAATTGCTGGTGGGATGATTTATTAGACGTTGAGGTGGACAGCTACGGGTGTTGTTGGCGAGAATTACGAGCTACGGATAAAAGGAGGTAGAAGGCGACAGAGAGAAGGAGAAAGAGATTATTAGCGCACAAAACACACAGGGGGGAGGATATTATGAAGATAATAGGGTAAAAGTTTTTGAAGAGCACGATAGCCATTTGCATTGTTGGGTAAATATTCGTCCATTAGCTGTCCTCCGGTTTTCGTGCGAGAATATTTTTTTGGGTGTGTGTGTGTTTTACTCAAACCTGACCTCCATTTATTGTGCAAATTTAGCGGTTTTTGCAAAAAATTTCATAAACCAAAAGTCGACATCCATCTTGCCAAACATGAAAGATCATAACTCCTAAAAGGTTAAGGTGTCGTTTACCATCATAAGATAACCAAATTATACCTAATGTAGGTTGGGTGAAGTAAGGTTGGGTTTTCTATGAAACAATTCACTTATATGTATTGTAATAATATACTACTGCCTGGGAAGATATTGGAAGCAAAATGTATTGTCTAATGGTAGGCCCTGCTGCCATTTGGCATCACGAAAATTGTGACCAAGTCCCAGGTTGCTGATCTGACTTTCTGCCTCATTTACACACAATTGCAGGGTCTCAATTGTTTCTCTTACTGTGACAACACAACATACATATATTGTTTCTCACTATTGATCTTTTTTGTGTTTATTTATTTATGGTACTTTAGTTTTATTATAATCATCACCATTAATATTATTTATTATTATTGTTATATATTTTATATAGTATTTTTTATATTTTTTATTAATTTTTAATTATTTATTATTATTATTATTATTATTATTATTATTATTATTATTATTATTATTATTATTATTATTATTATTATTATTATTATTATTATATTTTCACCCCCAGGCCTTGATGTGGGTCATTGGCCTGTGCTCTGGTGCCCTGATCCCGGTAAAAAAAAAACCTATCGCCTTAGGCCAGTCAAACGTTCAAAGAAATATTTAGAAGTTATCACTATTGGGGAATTACATTTGGCAAAAAACATGTCAGTGTGTAGTCTTTAATACATCTAGTCGTTTTAAAAGTAAATGTGATTTTTCCAGGTACAGCACTGTGAATTTATGTACTCTTAAGATTAAATACACAGACAAAACGGTAGAAGAATCCCATCAGGATATGACAAGTTTACTTGAGAAAGGAAAAAAAAAGGTATTCCAAAGGCATTATGGGTACCGTTAGTGTACTGGAACGGAAAGTTGCGTGATACAGGTAAAGGGTATATTAGTGCCAATGACAAATGAAAGCGCTTCCTCTCACAGTGTATGCATTAAACACAATACTTTTTACCATTACTTGATTAGTGAAATTTTGACGGAGATTTAAGACTAGTACTAATCAAATTAAGCTAATCATTATATTCGCTTGAGCGAACTGAACTCAGACGTACGAAAACAACTTCAATCGATTGATAATAGTTTGAAATAAATATACTCATTGAAATGAAGAGGAGGGTATAACAAATTTAGATATGATTAAAATATTCAAAGACGTTAAGGAGTTTCATGAAAGTCTCTACATGGACAAGGTGAGGTAATGATCAAGATAAGACCTGAGGGCGTCTTGAGTAAGAAGTGGCTGATACCTTCAAACACAACAGTTATTATATATCATATTTGTATCACGTTACTTGTATATTATTTGTAAATCAAGAGATCCATTCCCCAATTATGTAACTGTATATTTTCAGCCTTCCGGCTGCTATGCTCTTTCAATAAACCGTTAATTATTATTATTATTATTATTATTATTATTATTATTATTATTATTATTATTATTAGAAGACGGAGTGTCACAGTGCTGCCTGGTGAAGAGCCGATTGATTTACAGTTGTTAGACTTGGGTGTGCTAAAAGTTAACCAGTGGCTGGCGATGATTTGATTAGTTCACAGTGCTGATTTTCTTGAACTGATTGGTTCACAGTGCTGGCTTTCATGAGCTGATTGGTTCACAGTGCTGGCTTTCATGAGCTGATTGGTTCACAGTGCTGGCTTTCATGAGCTGATTGGTTCACAGGGCTGACTTTCGTAAACTGGTTGGTTCAGTGCTGACATCCATGAGCTGATTGGTTCACAGTGTTGACTTTCGTGAGCTGATTGGTGACAGGGTGATTGGTTCACAGTGCTAGCGGGCGCAGCTGGTGGTTCTGGGGCTCTGTAGTGTATCGGTAATCGGCGTTGATTTTGGTCGGGTGGAATGTCACTAGAAGTTCCAAGTTCGTTTGCCTAGGGTTAATAGCGTCGTGTGTGTGTGTGTGCAGTTTATTTCAGTTGTATGCACTGCCCAGAATCAGCTCGAATATAAAGGCTTGCGCTCCCAGTAAAATTCCTGGTGACAGACAAGGGTAGTTAGTGTTCATTAGTTCTCAATTAGAATTTCCTAGTTTTAGTCACATACATTCTAAATTCTCACATTTCTTTATAGATATATGACTCAAGTCTGAATCTGTGTGGGAATTCTCTAAGCTTGACTTTAACGTTTGCTGAGGAATAAAATAATACTGACTTGGTTAATAAAATCATTGTGGAAATGCGTCGACAAATAAAAAATATATCATGATTTATCTTTTGTTTATTTTAGTTTAGGTAGTGTTTATTCTTACCTCCGGCATACACGCAGAACACGCCATAAAAATCACTTGGCTGGAGTGGTCGAAGATCGTTGTCAGGTTTGTTGAAGTCAGCCTTAAGACAGTGACCGACGTTGGGCATCCCGCTCAGGTACATGTGGTCAAGGATGCCAAACTCCTTCAAGTTCCTTATTCTGATCGGGTGGAAGTTTTACTTACACAGAGAACCATAGTATTTGATCCAGGTTTCTAGATAAGTGCTGTAAATATGCAGTTTTATTGATGGTGAATAAGTTAAAGAAGGATTGATTGATAGCTGTCTCCTTTGGATGTACTGTACTGTATCCAATTCCCTGGGTGGCGGCGGTTATTATTGGGTCATTAACATTATTTTTATATTTAGCGCATAAGTTTATTTCATAATGACTGAAAAAAATACCCTCATGCATAATTTTTCCCGCGTGTCTCTGGTTAATTACTAAACCAGCCCACCTGTTGTCATGTACTGTGTATATCAAAAGCATGGAACTATATTTTAACTTCACATACTTATAAATATTTTATAAATTATTATGATTATGATTATTATGATTATTATTATTATTATTATTATTATTATTATTATTATTGTTCAAGTTATATGCAGCCTGACCTAAGTTGCTGTACTACAGAATGGCTATAGAATCCCTATAGAAAGAATTCAGAGGAGAATGACAAAACTAATCCCGGGCATTAGGAACCTTGAGTTAGAGACAGATTAAAGCTTATTAATTTGCACTCCCCCTTGAGACGTTGAGTGAGGGCTGATAATTATGATCGAGGTGTATAAATGGAAGTCAGGTCTAAACAAAGTGATCTAACAAAGGTACTCAAACTATCCAACCAGGAGCGAACTCGTAGCAACGGTTTTAAATTAGAGAAATTTAGATTTAGGCGCGAGATATAAACATTCGTTTGGGAATAGAGTAGTGGACGAGTGGAAGAAGTTACCAAACATGGAGTTACCCACGCTAGGACATTTCCCCGAATCCCGTACCCTTTCAGTTTAATTTTCAGCCTTTCTTGGGGTACACTGTCAAAAGCCTTGGCAAATTCTAGGTAAATATTGTCGATATTACCACCCTGATTTAGAATTTGGGTCCAAATATCCATTACCTTGAGTAATTGTGTTAAACAAGAGCGCCCCGGCATAAAACCGTGTTGGCAATCATTTACAGGGTTGTTTCGTTGTAGATGTTCCATCATGGCATCTCTTATAATGCTCTCAAGTACTTTACATATTATGCTTGTTAGGCTCACTGGTCTATAGTTATTCGTTAAGTGACGATCGCCCTTCTTGAAGATAGGACTCGCATAAGCCATTTCACTGGGGACTTTTTGTTCGTCCAGGCATTTACTGAACAGGATACTTCAAGGGTTCAGCTAGCTCGTTGCACAACTCCCTCAGCACTCTGGAATGCACTATGTCAGGGCCGGGACTCTTATGAACCTTTAGTTTTGACAGTATTTCTTATAATCTCTTCTGTGAACACAATGTGGGTCAGTGCTGTATCGTACAGCCTATTGTCAAACACAGGGAGATTGTTTTCATCTTCTCTTGTGAACACCGAGGAAAAGAAGCTGTTCAATGCCTCGGCTTTGCAACAGTTCTACAACTCCTACTATATCGGGGTGGTGTATCTTCAGTAGTGTTTCAAACTCCCCTCTCTTATCAAGGAACGTGTCAGTATTAGTGTACATGAAATTCAAGCCGGAATTTGTTTTCGGTAATGTCTCTGCTCTTGGGAATAAGTCCCCCCATTCTCTGTGGCTGTAGCCTTTGCTAAGTTCACTGTGTTTTGCAGGGTGTGGTTAGAAGTGTCATTGTTTACACGTCGCTCGCCTCTTCCCGGGTAGGAGGTAGAGCCAGTGCCTCCTGGGTGGGAGGTAAAGCGGGTGGAGGGTGTACTGCTGCCCCCCGGCTCAGCGCTTTTTTTCTTTTTTTTCTTTGTAGAGAAATGGGGGGGGGGTGAAGGAAGATTAGAGGTGGGGGAAGGAAGTTATAGTTCGGAAATTGAAGAAATTTAGGAGGTAAGATAGGGCGGGCTGACCGCCTAGCTAAGCTAATAGTGTGTTATGGTTGTGTCATGGGTTAGTTATTGTCTGTCGGTACAGGCACTAGACATATCCTACCCTGTCCCATTTATGGGTGTTTTAAGGGCTCAGCGCTGGTGCTCTCGCTGCCATTACCCCTCCTGGATATAACCCATGTACAGTACACCCGACCCCGTTCAACCTCGACTTCTCCCTCCTCTACTTCAAGCCGTGCATGAGTTTCCGGTGCGGTTCCCTCTGTAATATCGTGCAATCTGGGTGAATGAATACATTCCGGAATGACTCGCTCCTTGCTAAGCATTTTGCCTGCCGAATAATTTCCTATTTCTTCTTTTCACTCACTAGTGTGATCCTGAGGGGTCGAGGCTTCTCCTCCTGCTTTTGTCCCAGCCTCCTCACATCCTGAGGGTGTGATGACATATTCAGAACCTCTGTATAAATATTCTCAAACTGCAACGTGTCGTGTTATTTCCTAGTCTCCGCTCCTTCAGATTGGCTCTCAGGGACTCCATGAACTATTAAGGTGTTCCTGCGCTCGAAATGTTCCCGTTATTCTTCCTTTCCCCTAACGGTAGGTCTGCTAGTTGCCATCTCTTCGACACACTTCTTCAGAGTCCCTAGCTGCTGTAGAACATTTACGGATCCTGCATTACTGTCCGTCACCCCCCGTGGGCCTTTTAAGACCTGAGCATAATTCCTCTTCACTACCCCCTCCTTTCTATCGGCTACTTCCTCAGTCTTATCGTTGATCTCTTTCCCAACTTGTTCTAGTTTGGCAACCAGCAAGGCTCCAGCTTCGTCTATTTTCGTCCCTAGGACACTTGTTTATGGCTTGCAATCGCCTCACCCGCCTTGACTCTGCAGTCAGGGCAATATCAGCAATATCCTTTCTGCTTTACCGCATTCTGTAACGTCCTAAACTGGGTTAGGCCCACACCATCTACAGTATATCCGTCGTCGCCCCGCAGTAGTTGCATGTAGGTGCCGCTTTGGTCCCAGATTTCTTGCCCCTCATGGTTGTTGGGGGAGGGGGGGGGGCATGCAGACTCTGTACGGATCTTCTCAGCCTTAAGCCCAACCAGTTTACCATGTGGTGGACTTCTACTCGTCGTCTTACTAAAAACAATAATATTGATCTGTATTATTACTATGATAATTGTTTCTAATCTGTGCCTTGGTAGTAGGGCTCCGCCTTAATATTAATAATAATATTGATCTCTATTATTACTAGCATCTTCTAATTTAAAAGTTGTCCACCTTCCAAACAAATGTATTACTAAATTTAACTAAGTACAGAAACAGGACAGATGCAGTGAAAGATATAGATTTATGAAATTTTCCACAACAAACCCTAACCTTTGACTCATAATTATCTAATCTTTCACTGAGCAAATTAATATTCATATTGACCGTGACATTTGAAAATACTTACACAGGGTCAACTCTTTCCTTAAGCGGTGATCTCTTGGGGAAGGCGAGGCTGAGGCTGGTGGCACCAAAGTAATTCTCTTGGGCTATGTAGTGATCACACCTTCCAGTCTGCAATGCCAACACAGGTTTTTTAATTTCGCCAAGCCCTCAGATACAATAGACTTTAGCAGTAGTTCCATGACTCTTTCGCAGTGCTGGACTTACGCTGAAATGGTTCAGTAATGTTTGTCAAGTGTAAGCTTCATTAGTTGGATTCAGTATAATGCCATTTGTACCTTTGTTAAAAGATACTTACCCTAGCAAAATTCATGTCAAATACTGAATATATATATATTCGACTTGTAAACACAGCTTCCAGTCCTAGGTTGAATCTCCTTAATGCGTCGTATACGTTGTTGTCAATCTTGTGTTGTTTCTTGAGGCCGTATAGTCTGGTGCCCGGGGTCGCCTCCTATGGAAGCACCACCGATACTCTTACTCATACACTTGTAAAGTTACACATTTATCACAAGATTTTTGTATTAATTAATTTTGATCAACCAGTAAACTTACACATTGTATTAATTTTATTTTTTACCACTTTTCTCGGTATTATTATTATTATTATTATTATTATTATTATTATTATTATTATTATTATTATTATTATTATTTACTTTAATGAACTCTTGGAGGCACACTTAAAGGATGAAGGCAATGCAGCTGACAAGTGACCAGCATACCCGGCATTTCTTCGCATTTTAATGATATTCGTAACGGTCATATTTGCAACTTTAAATCATATTTGTTAACAGTTATATAAATATAAAATAAATAAGTTTTACTTGATAAAATCACACGGGAAAGGGGAAACAACGGAGCACCTTAGCTTTCGTCTTTATTCAAGACATCTTTCGAGGCCTCTGAAGATGTCTTGAATAAAGACGAAAGCTAAGGTGCTCCGTTGTTTCCCTTTTCCCGTGTGATTTTATCAAGATTTATCTTCTCCACGTTTTCATTGTGGATCTACATGATATAAGTTTTACTGTATACAGGCATGGAACCATACCTCCAGGAAGACCTAAAACCTATAGAAAAGGTGTAACACAGCGAATAAGCTGATTCCGTGACTGTCATTTGGATTATCCAAGTAGACTGGAGTCCTTAGGAACAACAACCCTTCAGACAAGGCACAATAGGGCAGATTTCATTGAACCATTCAAAATCGTGAAAGGGTTGGAAAACATGAACCCAGGACAATTTTTGACGTCACACACCACCAACACGAGAGGACATAACTACAAGCTCGCCAAGTTATCATGCAGAACTAACATAAGGAAATACTTCTTCACAGCGCCCAAGCTATGGAATCAAGAACAGTACTGGGTTTTAAAATAGTCCTGGGGGGGGAGATAGCCCAACCGGGCACAGGTCATCGGGGCCTGGGGGGCGAAGAATAAAAATAAATTAAAAATAGAAAAGGAAAAGGTTACTGTATATTAATCTACACCACGAAGATGCCGGAAAACCAGCTTTTTAAAGTGAGACAGATTGTATGAGTATGGAAACACAGCTACTCAGGCGACGTATGTCTGATAATTTGCCGGTAAAATGTCGATATACAAACATGGATCATTCTCATCCCGTAAACGCTTTGGGGTTATATTACAAATTAGTTATAATCTTAATAGTGCCAAAGATAATGTCACTAGTGTTACGTGAAGGAAAACCACTTCTAAGATTGTCCTTAACTCTTTAAGTGACGTACCTGAATAGCCTGAGTCACTATGTTGGCGGCTCCAGTGTACGTTGTTATGCCAGACTCGATCAGCTCCTCCAGGCTGTTGAAGGGGAGGCGCAGCTTGGGCAGGATCAACATGGCCTTCAGGTTGGAGCGGTATACAGACCCCAGGATGAAGGCCATCAACAACCACGTCCCAGCGATGATGCGCAGGGAGTCACCGCGCGGCAACCAGGATGATGCTGTGGTGATAGTGATGATAGTGAGTCACCGTGCAGCAACCATGGTGATGCTGTGGTGAAGTGAGTCACCGTAGGGCAACCATGGTGATGCTGTGATGATAGTGAGTCACCGTAGGGCAACCGTGATGATGCTGTGGTGATAATGAGTCACCGTAGGGCAACCGTGATGATGATGCAGCAATAGTGGTGATGGTGAATCACTGCATGGCAACCATGATGATGTGGTGATAGCGAGTCGCCGCGTGGCAACCATGGTGATGCTGTGTTGCTGTGGTGATAGTGAGTCATCGCAGGGCAACCATGATGATGTGATAGTGAGTGACCACGTAGCAACTATTGATGAAGCTGTAGTGACAGTGAGTCGCCGCGTGGTGACCATGATAACGCTGTGGCTCTAGAAGTGATAGTAAGGCACCGCGCGACAACCATTAATCGAGATAGGTTTAAATCCTCTCAGTGTTAGAGATTTTCTTTAAGCTGAATAAAATTGTCTTACTGTAGCCAGAATAAATCCCAGTGCCGAGAGCACTGAATAGGTTAATGCTGTGGTGATAATGATGATGGGAGTCTCCGCTGCCACTATGGTGATGTTGCGGTACGAAGTGAGGCCATGGTGAGTGAAGCGATACTACAGTACTGTAAAACAAGACTAGAGTCACCTTGGGCCAAGGGGGCCGCTACCGTCCACAGTGTGGCTGTCCACACCCGTTCATTACTGTCGTTGTCTTCCTGTCTGAAAAAAAAAATATAAACAGGTATATATATATATATATATATATATATATATATATATATATATATATATATATATATATATATATATATATATATATATATATATATATATATATATATATAAAGCCTGAATGCTCTGACTATATATATCAGCCTGAAACATTTTTACAGCATACTAGATTTCTCAGATTTATGTTACCGTGGGGTGTAGTAGCTGACGAAGGTGATGCACATGAAGACCACGAAGAGGGTGACCAGTTGTGTTATCCATATCTGCGAAAGAATGGTGTCTTAAATCATGACTTAGAGAAATACAGTTTTACATGTGTCAAACACTGGCATATAACACCCAACCATTTAAAAATGTATGCTGTTGATATTTATTAAATAAAATCGGCATGCAAATTAACCTTGATTTTTCCTGCACATGGAGTGCAAGAATACAATAATTGGCACGGTACTTGTATACAAACAATAATAATTAATAATTAGTCAATTTAACCAAGGACAGTTGGCAAAGCCATGAGATACTTATATCCAGCAGAGTTCTTACACCAGCAACATCGGTGTCTGGGCCAGGCGGTCACCCATCAAGTACTAACCGACCCAATGTTGCCTAACTTCGTTGATCAGATAAGAAGCGGCTTTCCAACGTGGTACTACTACTGTAAGAATCATAAATGGTTCGACCAAGGATATTCCAATAAAGCCTGAATGCTGTGACTAAATAATTTAAAGTAGGACTATAGTTAGGCGAGTCTTACCAGGCGGGTGTAGGGTCTCATAAAGCCAGCTATGTCAGGCTCAGGTTGTGGACGCTTGTAGGCGACCGCCTGGTCGTTCATGTGAAGTGGTTCGCTGAAGTCGACAGCCTTGGCGCGATTGTACTGCTGGGAGAACACCACACCAGACATGTCCACCTCCTGGAGACACACACACATACACATCTCTGTTTGCTGAAGTAATCCCGTTTTTTCTTTGACTTTTAATGATCTTAGAAAATAACTTTGAAAGTGGTTGACTTCTCCTTAAATTTTATTGTCTTAAAATGTAACTGGAGGTGAGGGGTTATGAATTAGCTTATTTAATGATTTTAAAAAGCGAATGATGATCTTGTAAAGTTCAGTAATGAAACAATTAAGTAAAGTAACCAACCAAGCGGATTAAACGACCGAGAGTCAGATTAGGGATGGGCTGAGGACAACTAAACTGTAGGCTACTCACGCTGCGTGTAAGGAGACCCATCATGCCTGTCCACGTGCCGTTGGGGAGTTCCTCGCCATAAACAAGGTCGTCCGGCACCACGTATTCTATGCTATTCAAGACAGACAAGGATGATACGGGGATACAGTTTTATGATACAGATGCAGCGATACGGCTTCATGCTAATAATTCGTGTAATGTTGTGTACTCTGGTGTACTATAGTGTACTGCGGTGTACTGTGTGATGCAACGTGGTATGTGTTGGTGCATTGTACTGCGTTCTGTGGTGTTTTATGGTACGCGATTGCGTTTTAAAAATGTATATAGCCTACATATGATTGCATAGCTTAATATTACATCAGTGGGCAAGACCGTAAAACATTACGTCACCAGAAGTTGAGTTTGTTAGCTATGACGTTCATTGTGTTGACCATAGTCCCTTCTATAATGTACGGCCGTGATCCCTTCAACATGATGAATGGCCAGAACTGAAATGGTGGAATAATGATAACACTTGTAATATTAACGATTAACACCAGAAGTAATGATAGGAGTGGTGGAGGTAGTAATAGTATAGAGGTATTCTTGGTAATGTCATGTCATAGAATGTAAGTTTTCAAATTGTTTACCAGACGCCCCTTAGGTGGTCGTGGGGATTCGTCTTTGGGCCTCCGGGGGGAACTGTGACGACGAACATCAGACACCTATGAACTAGTAGAGTGTAAGGGGGGCGGGGGTCAGAACTCAAATGAAAAACTAAATTTATGGGAGATAACCGTAAGCAAAACACCATCATTCACTGGGAGGCAAACTTGCGAAACAGTTGTTTTAAGTTTGTACAGTAATTTACAGTGGTTCTTGGGTAAGGAAATGAGGTAACAGGTACTGTACAGCGTAGGTACTCACGTGATAGACACACAGTTTGAGGCAGCTGGTGGTGTTGACAGCTGACATGCTGCTAGAGAGGAAGAACCTAACCTTCACCTCACCTCGACGCCCGAGAAACTGACGGCTGGACCTTCCATAGACACTCTTCAACGAGCCACATTACTGTATTGATGAGTTCTGCACATGATGAGCTGTTGATTAGTATCGTTCAAATAACCTTTACAGAACCCCAACTGTTTATAAGTTATTGCTAGCCAATCATATTTAGCCTTTGTAATCTTCTGGAGGTCCGAGTGGAAGTTAGTTCATGTGGATAAATATACAGTACACTAAAGCCTGACCCAGATTATCTTTCGCACACTTCTTACTTTATCTGAATGTTACCGTCGTAAGAAAGTTCTACCATGTCCAGTACATTGTGAGGAAAGAGAGAACAATTATTTTACTGATAATCTTTTATCATTGTTGTAAAACAACTGGATATCTGTTGAAGTGGACTGCAAGGCGGATGTTTTGGCGGAAATATGTTTCTATTATTTCTTTCTTTGAAAAATTCATTTTTTAATTTAAGGAAAAATATTCAAATTGTTCTATTTGTAACTAAAAATATCTGACAAACTAAAAAAAAAACAATGAGTGTTCATTTAATTAATCTTAATTGTAATTCTGGATAAACTGATAATTGTCTGATTTTTATAATAATGAGAAATACAGCGCAATAGCTAAGTAACTTCATGTACTGTAAAATAAAATTAATTTACAATGTTGGAATTAGTTAATTTTACCGCCACACCACCCCGTTCAGTACTGTACTGCGGTGTCCCTCAGGACTCATTTAGTTTAAAACTCGGGTTGAAACACGACGACCCTCTTCAAGGGAAGATGTTGTTAAATAATACGGGCGTCAGCATCGGATCAGAGGTGCATCTCGAGCCTTTGGCAGACTCCGAAACCGTGTCTTCAACTGTAGGGAGCTGAAATTATCTACAAAGCTGCACGTATATCGAGCAGTGGTCCTCCCCACCCTGCTACTGTATATGACAGTTAGACATGGGTCACATACAGGAGGACCCTTAAGGCACTTGAAAACTTTCACCAACGTAGTCTACGTTCCATCCTCCGAGTTTGCTGGGAAGACAAGATAAAAAAATGCCAGTATTCTCGCTGACACCAACTGTAGGAGCATCGAGGCTACCATTATCCATGAACAACTACGCTGGACTGGCCATGTTACCCGCATGGACGACAGTAGACTGCCAAAGCATCTTCTTACAGTCACCTAACGAATAGTAAACGTAACGCCGGCGGGCAATTGAAAAGATATAAGGATAGTCTTAAGACAAACCTGAAAAAGTGCCAAATCGACCACCTCACCTGGGAGTCGATTAATCCACATCGTAACGCTTGGAGGAGCACCACACGAGGTGTCAATACTTTCGAATTAGCCCGACTGCAAACCGAGGCAGGCAAGCGCCAACGCTGGAAGGACGCTACCACCGCCACTCCCGCACTAGATGCAGCCCTCCACATGTGCAACGAATTTAACTGGTGATTTATTGATTTAAATGCAATGTGTTGAAAGTTTCCTTTAAATCGAAATGAAATTATTCTATGATGTTTCAGGCAGTAAATCTGGCTTCAACAAGATAAATGTCGAAATTATATGAAAATAGATGTATTATTGTTGTGTTTTGCTCCAGAACAACAGACATTGTAAAGGTTAATTGTTCACTGACATTTGATATAAAAATATTTTGTAGTGATAGATTGAGAACACGCCAGTAATTGCTTGCTCTTTTTTTATTTTTAGTCTGTGTGATTTTATCTCTAAAATAAATGAAATTAAATAAAAAAAACACGAGAGAGAAAGACACCCCCCCCCCTCCCTCCATTTCCAGGGTTAAGTGAAAACTTTTATTAGCTAAGATTTCAATTGTCTGCGTCCACCATCATCCCTGATACACGAGACAAAAGACAAAGTTGTTCGGGACATTCGGTAACCTAACCTTGCGACCTCCCCCCCCCCACTCCCCTACTGGGTTAAAATTTCTACATCCCACTGAATTGACTTCTCAAGCGTCCCTGAAGTTCGGTGTAAAACTTGAGAGTTTCTTACGATTTTGCTTTAGGTTAGGTTGGGTACAGTACATTTTATACGAACTTTGTCATTTAGAAAACAATAATATATAAATCACACATTGACTCTCGTATTGCTTCCCATGTTGATAGATAAATATATGTATAGGTATAGTTGAATGCATTTCAGTTGATAGATAGATAAAGAGATAGGAAAATAAATATGAGTACAGTTAAATAAATTTTGGTTTGGGTGGAGAGATTCATTGTTGGGTAAATAGTGACAGATTGATAACTACGTGGATAGTATATAAAAGTTTGGTTGATGGACGGATAGATATACTGTAGGTAGATACGGATATAGCTCATACACTTTGAATTGATAACGAAGGTATTTTGTGGTGTTTATAGTAAATATTATCATTGTGGTGTGTTATTGGTCAAACAAGCGGACGATCAGTAACACCTTGCTTCTAAGCTCCGCCCACCCATGACGTCATTTTCAAGGCTTCACGAAACAAGGATTTGAATCATTTCGTGAATGAATCTCCTGATCCAGAGTCCTGGATCTGTGAATCTAGTTTGTTACAATTCCTTATTTTGGTCAACCAATATGTGTGTGTTTTTGTCTTGGTATATATTTTTCTTGTTAGTGATCCACAAGTTGTAATATTTCTTCCTTGGCATAAATTATCATATTTTACGAATGATGTGTCAAATAGAGGTAATACGTCGGGTTATTGTGATTGCGTGAGTTAGTGATGTGCTTCGAAGCTTCAGTAAACTTGAGAATGGGGGCGATGTACACGGAGGTAGGTCGGGTCATGCCAGCTCACAAGTTCACATTCACAACACACGTATACGTTCCTCCTTCCCTCTCTCCCTCCCTCTCGAGCTAGCTTTTACCTCCCTCCCCCTCTTGAATTGTTACAACCTACCCTACCTCCTTTAGCAGCTGGTGTGTGTGTGTGTGGTGGTAGTGTATTTGATGGCCATTTTCGGGTTTTACGTTCGCTGTTTGTGGCTTACCTAGTGGTTATGGCGCCGTAATGGCTTCCAGGATTCTACGTTATGGTTATTAACAATTGAGTGAAGGTAAGTTGATACAAATGTTGCGTTGTTGTTCTGTGGGATCCAGGAAGGGGGAGGCGGAAGTGTATGCTCTCCTCCGTGTACTACTTGTCCCCTTGTACTGGAACCTTGATTTTATATGAATTTATTGAGTAAAAATAAATACATACTTACATACAGACATTTACCGAGGACAACACAAAGTATTTGTAATTCATATTTCTAGTGTTGTAATTGTCGTTCAGTAGATGTTTCTTTGGGGTAACATATAGTAGATATCATAAAGAGAACAAGAAAACGATCACCAAAATTTCAGCCACAATCTTAGCTGCGCTGCGTGATGTCACAAATCGTGTGGGAGTTTAAAGTTCTTATTTTACCGCCAAAAAAAAAAATACTGACGCACTGGTAAATTTCTGTTGGCTTGTACTGAACTTCACACAGGCGATGGTGGTGTCCTATCTACTTACCCATAGAATCATATCTGGTAATTTTTAAGTCGTTATAACTATTATATTTACCAAGAATTCCACACTAGTGCACAATAACACATTAAACCAAGCTGATTGACCCTCCTAAGGAGATACGTTATTGCTAATTGTTTATTTACGATAATCTGTGTGTTGTACTTTCTTGGAGGAGCTACTGTCTTTTAAATGTTGTTCTTAGATGTTAACTACGACCTTCAACTACGACAGGTCTTTAAGCGAGTAAGGTTTAGTAATATACGCAAATCAAACAACAAGAAAAAAAATTTGTACCTCTTATAACTAGCAAATATATGACCTTATTTCCTGATGCTTCACACTTTGGATTATAAGAAAACAATTCTGCTATTCCAATTTATTCGATTAGATACCGTAGGACTGAGCCGTACTGTCTCAGTCTAAAGCGTATGGTGGTTAAGTAATCATACGCACATGTCACTACTTTTATGTTGGATATACGAAAATACAGTTCAGTAAAAGTCAAATGTTAGTCGCCTTAAAATTACTGATGGTAAATTTGCCTCACCAGACGACTGTGTTCTGTAAGACATGATAGTACTATATGCTAATGATAAAGAATCAGTAGAGACGATAAAGTAATCTTGGCAGACTTAAAAGCAAGAGTCTAAAGAACATTTGTATAATCATATATTGAAACATTAATAAAAATTATTATACAATAAGAAATTCTTGTTACTGAAGGCGGCGTCAGTGCCTGAAATCTTCACTTAATTAAACTAGTATAAACAATACTCTATTAATAAACTAATTTTATTGGATTAAAGTAAAAAAATGAAAAAAATGCATTTGCTCTGTAAATAACCAAGGTATACTTTGTTAATGCCCCTGGCAAGTTAAATCAGGGATGACGTCTCTACTCCGTGGCTGGTCTTCCTCAGGAGTCTTAAGATGTACAGTAACTCGGCCTGTTAAAGACGGAGAACATGTAAGATACATTTAAATAATAATAATACAACTGCAATAACATTTCTAAAAACGGACCACTGAAGGATTAAACATTTAATGCTACCTGGGGTTAAGGTTAGGTTAGGTTAGGTTAGGTTGGTTAGGCTAGGCTAGGCTAGGCTAGGCTAGGTTAGGTTATGTTATGTTATGTTACGGTGTTTAATCATTAAATCATATAAGTTGGAGCCCATTTCTCGAGTGATCGTAAAAAGTTGTTAATTTAATTATTACTCTCCTGCAAAACGTGGAGTTGATATCCCCCTCCCCCGACCTATAATATTGGTAGTGATAACAAACCTAAACTATCCTGCCATACAATGTACAGTATTATTAAGGTTTGGGATGTGCCATGTCCATTCCCTTCATACCATCACATTTGACCTGAAAACATGAAGCCTGTGAATATTCAGTGTATCTTCTTGTTTTAAGTTAACTGTTATTTAGATCCGTAAAAAAAAATATAAACAGATGTATGGGTGGAAACATGCGATATCCTGCCTAAAGCTTTACTTGATAAAATAAAGAAAAATTCTACTTACAAACAGCCAGGTATTGGGATAAAGGAAACCGTTGCTGACCAGCCATTCAGCAAGTTAGATTTTGTCTGGAAATAAAGTATTATCTCGTTGGTAACAGAGACGAACGTGTCTCCTGGAGAGATATCCTTGTCGCAGTACCTGTCACGGGGAGATAAGACCATTGTCATAAACTGTGCTAACCCAAAGATAAACTGGGTTATTTCCACAATAATATTTCTACTAGACATTAAAATTGACGTTTACAATGATACGCTATCAAATGATACTACGTTAGTGGACAGCTGTTAATGAGATCAGGTACGTGACAAAACCAGAAGGCATTAAAACCAAATTGGCCCTCGTTGATGAGAGAAAACTGTTAAGACTAAAGAAAATAATCTTAACGAAATCTGTACAAAGAAGTTTACATCCCTGGATCTGCAGGGTAAAAAAAACGGAATATAGACGACTTTAGTTTGTTGCAAAATCAGAAAATAGTCAATCACACAATGGGTATATATCTGTACCTCAACCACTGGACGCATCTAGGACCCAAACTCTCATGACCTCAGGCAAGTGTCACACTTTCCTTTGTATCAAACGATATCCGAACGTGACCTACAAATTAACTTGCCCATCGAGATCACCTGGACCCGAGCAGGCGTCTCCTTACCTTTGGCCTATCCTGTCTCTCACTGCACTATTAAGCTACTGTCTCTCGCATTCAAACTCGATAATATAAATACGACTATTATTGTGATAACTTTCTCAATGCTTCTGTATTTCAGAACACTGCTCCCTTACTACACCACCCTCATCTCCACCTCAGCAACCAGACTACCACCACACTCATCTCCCCCTCAGCAACCACCAGCCACCACAGTCCTCATCTCCCCCTCAACACTCACACCCCTACCACCACACCCCTCACACCACTATCACCACACACAATACTTACACGTCGCCGTACTCCTGACCATTAACCCTTATCTCGAGAATATCTACATAGCAGCAGGCTTGATTACAGCTGTAGGTCATGGGATACAGGTGGAAGAAATTGAACTTCAGCATGGGAAGGTAACAATCTGGCGCCCGGATTATTTTAGTGCATTTTTCATCTGTGGAGACGAGTTGATCAGTGATTAGATAGATAGATATATTTTTTTTTACGGGGAATAGCCCACCCGGGCACAGGTCATCGACCCACAACGGGGCCTAGGAGGTGAAAAAATAAGAGTAAAAATAGAAAAGAAAAAAATATGTTAATCTACACCACGAAGAAGCCGGAAAACCAGATTTTTGAAGTGAGACAGATTGTCTGAGTATGTTTCCAGCTTGGCTGTGTGAGGAAAGAAGGGTGTACTATAACGGGTTATTCTAGTGTGACCGACATCCACAGAGAAATGGTGGGCACCGCGGGCAAGAAGAGTGTTTAGATCCCACGGCCTTACCGGCGGTACACAGGATGCCAAATCCACCGAACATTGCCCATTGAAGTACCTGTAAAAGAGAGAGAGTGAAGCAACATTGCGGTGAAGTGAAAGGAAAGAAAGATTATCAACTAAAGGGGGAGAGCCACCCCAGATATGAGAGCAGCACTCCAAGTTAGGACGAATGAATCCCTTGTATACTTTAAGCAACTGCTCAGGTGTGAAGTAACTACGGCATTTTTACAGCATTCCCAGCTTTCGGGAGGCAGCTTTAGCAATGTTGAGGATGTGTGGCTTCCATGACATTACAGGAAATGGTGAGGCCTAGCATATCTATTGTAGAATTTGGCAGAATGATTGCGTCCTGTGATGTAATTGGTGGGAGATCATCTAAATTGAAAAGTGTAATTGATAAATACTAAGTTTTATTACTATTGATGTATGTTATGATATCATCTCTAGAAACAGATCTAGTCTGATAATTAGGGGAAGTGGAAAATATGAAGAAGAGTAAAGCATTAGTCGTAGTGTGAAGTAAATCATTGATAAAAAGATGGAAGAGAGTTCCAGAAAACAGAACCCTGCGGGACACCACTATTGGGAGAGAAAGATCGAGAGATTTATCCCTCGACAACAACTGTCATGGATTGGTTCTCAAGGAAGCTATGAATTAGAGAAAAAAGTGGTGGGGGGGGGGGGACCATAAGAGGAAAAATTTAGAAAGCAAAGACTTGTGCCATACTCTGTCATATGTTTATGTCCTCTGTTTATTATTTCAACTGTTTGTTTATTCATGTGTTAATGTGTGTCCGTACAGATGTATGTTAATAAGTATACATGCGTGTGAGTGTGACTTTATAGACCTAAGTATTTATAAACATTTGTATATTTTAAACTATTTTACACAGGGTGTCTATAATTTTCTGTTACACCTCACAGTATATAACAGATAAAGCAGAACAGGACATTGTGGAAATCCTGTGTTTCTATTTTTCACAGCGATTTATTGTGTCTTACTCTTTGGGTACGGGTCAGGGAAGTTAGGTGAGGTGATGATGCCCGGTTGAGTCACCACTTCTGTACAGGGCGATAAGAGTCCATCTGCAAGGCAAAACATGCTGTAGTTAGACACATACCTATCTTTAAATATATTGTAGCTAAAGCCACCATCTCTGGGTTAGGTTGATGATTTGTACTGTATGTGTGTTCTATGACTGCCTAACTGTCGAGTACAATAATGATAAAAGCTTAAATGAGACCACAAAGAAAATATTCGACTGGCTACTGATTACTAGCTTACCGTAGTACCCGCCAATGATGGTCTCACAATAGTTGCCAGTTGTGCCCGGGCGACACACACACTTACAGTTGCTTCCTATGTAGCCGTCGTTGTTACACGGATCGGAGTTAAAGCCACAAGCAGTCAACCACTTGTCTGTAGAAGGAGAGAGGAGCTGAGTTCAAATAACAAAGGACATTTATTAAGATGTCATATGTAATTCGTCTACCAGTGTCATGGGATATCACCTCCCCCACCTCCCCTTCATATAGTTCCCCGAAGGCACTTCTGCGCATGCGCAAGTTTGGAGCATACATTTTATCTGCATGAAATAGTTCTCTCCGTGATATAACTCCCAGCATCAAGTGGCAGTATTAGAATATTGTATCTTTACTGCCGTAAGAAATATCATAAGTAATGCGCATTACTCACACCATTATGTCAAGGGTTCGACCCTCGGCCCGGACACACGTGAGAAGGGTGTTATCCTGTGTGTTCCCACTAAACGCCACATGACGCGGTCTCCACCTCATTAACACTGGATAGACCGCCCAAACGGCGAGTAAGCCATAAGTGGCGAGTATGATGTCAACAAAAAAAAAAAAAAAATTGAAAGGCTTTGGCAGTGATAACTAAGTGCTTACCCTCAGGCTCAAAATTCTTCGCATATTTACAAAATCCACTCCGCTGATTCTTGAACAAGTGTTTCCTAGCTGGAAATCGTAAGATGCTACTCCGGCCACATAGTTGGCACGGGCAATCCCCATTGGAGGCTCACGGCCCTTCACAAGCGCAATGAAATAGGGCTTAATAGGCTTTTTTGCGGCCCACGGGCTGCGGGTTGCCCAAGCTGGTGTACGACAACACCATCACCACACACTGTTTGGTGTACCACAACAACACCATCACCACACACTGCATGGTGTATCACAACACCACCACCACACTGTTTGGTGTATCACAACACCATCACCACACACTGCATGATGTATCACAACACCATCACCACACACTGCATGGTGTATCACAACACCATCACCACACTGTTTGGTGTATCACAACACCATCACCACACACTGCATGGTGTATCACAACACCATCACCACACACTGCATGGTGTATCACAACACCATCACCACACACTGCATGGTGTATCACAACACCCCCACCACCACCACACACTATATGATGTACCACGACAAAAGGACACATACCTGTACAATTGTACATGCGATTGGCCAACAACTTGTCATAAAAACTGAGTCCACTCCTCTGGCCTATAATTCCTTGATGCAGTGGATCGTTGGTTGTGATGGTCAACTTCCCATTCCATGTGAAGTACTGATACAGGCAGAAAAACAAGCTATTACGGGACCAAACGGATGATTTTTATATATAAATACTCGAGATGAAAAAGTTTTGCTCTACGGAAGACATATTTTTTTCTGAACCTTTATTTTCTTATTCACATTAATCCTCTTATTCCAAAATCATATTCACATAATGTATATAGTGCACTACAAATATGGTGATATAATGGAAGAAATTATGTTGTCTTTATGAATAACGCCTAATATCCAGTCTGACACACACATACAATATATATATAAATATATATATATATATATATATATATATATATATATATATATATATATATATATATATATATATATATATATATATAAAATGAACGATCGTTCACATTGGACGCACTCACTGTCTGTTTCTGGCCATTGTGCCGGAGTTACTGCCTGAAGTTCATATGTTTACTACCATACACCATTCATTCGAATCACCTCAAGATTAGCCCTTAATTTATTTCACCCGATGATTAAATACCTTAACGCTAACCAAACTTAACATAACCTAACTTAAATTGATCTAATCTAATCCCTCCATGTAACGTTGGGGTGAAATAAGCAAGGGGGGTTTAACTTCTGGTGATCTAATGTTTCTTACCTTAGAACCATAGTGCATGACTGAAGAAAGGTCGTAGGGAAGACCGTAGTTGCTGACTATAGCAGTTGAATGCTTATTAAAGTTATAAATTTTCGTGCTTATTATGTTTTCATAGTGAACATTGACGTAGTCATCTCGGTTGGTTGAACTCTGCTCATGGAAACAACCTAATGCGTGGAAGATTTCATGAACAACTGTACCAACCTGAAGAAAGTGAAATATACAGTATGTTAGTATTATATAAAAATCCGTTATATTATTTATGCATTGATTTTATTGTTTTGTCTTTAACTGTGGCTCAGAAAGAGACTGAAACTGGTAACCAAGACGAGAAAATAGTTCATAGTAAATAACATGGGTCTTGTAGTTTCTTTGGTGTCTCTTGACGATGATTCTGTATAGCAATAAGACGTACAATACAATAAAGTGGGAGTATGGGTTCAAGCTGTCAATTCCACCAGACAAGGTTAACTTAAAAAGAATTTGAGAATTTGCAGATTTGGGCGTTGCACTAATGAGCGGAGGATTCAGGAGCCCAGAACTTGCCAACAGTGAGTGACAGAGGCGTGACCGATGGCCCATGTGGCTAACGAGGATAAAGTAAAGGAGAACCTTTGTGGTGGGTGTTGACCGTGTTGGTGTATTAGTTGTTGTAAACAAAATATAGGTAAAGAGGAATACACAGGTTAAAGCAATCTGGGTGGGGGGTTGGGGTTATGTCATTAAAGCACTTATAAAAGAAAATATTTCTGGAGCCAGCTGTAGTGAATGTTAGAAGCGATATACAAAAATTTTCAGCACAATCTAGAAGCCACATTGGACGCTATTTCTGAGAGCAAGGCTACTGCAGCTCTGATACTTATTGTAGTATATCATAACCCGTAAAGTGACACACACACACACACACACGTGTGTATATATATATATATATATATATATATATATATATATATATATATATATATATATATATATATATATATATATATATATATATATATATATATATATATATATATTATTTATTTATTTATTTATTTACTTATTTACTTATTTATTTATTTATTTATTTATTTATTTACTTATTTACTTATTTATGTTCACATATAATTCAGGATAGAAGAGTAAATGATAGAAAATTATTAGCATTATAAATGGAGACCCATATGACCGGATACTTATGACTTGTTGGATATAACAATGCAAAAATCCTACAGTAAAATAAATCATAAAAAATATAATGTATACCAAAGCTTCTCAATACAGTACTGTATATGGAAATTTAACAACAAGGGGATCGCTTGTTGAAGTTCTTTGGGAGTATCCCATCAATCATGCTTTTATCTGAATCGAAGCCTATTATTTCTATAACCAAGAGAAAATATTTTATTAAAAGTCCATATTTTACTCACAAACTGACAGCCATTGCCAATACTGATATATTGACCGTTACTGCTCTGCATGCCGATGTAGGAAGAACAACCTGACCCCAATATAAATATGATGTGCGATTGGTTGGTGTTGGTGGTTTCCTCAAACTTGATGCACGTGTGTTCCATCCAGGAGTTGATGCCCGCCTGGATTGCAGAGATGTGTCCGCTAGCTATAAAATTAAAACATTGTTGCTTTAGTACATTTGTACACGTTCAATATCTGACCATGGGACTATTGAAGCTAATGTCACTTTAGTTGTTCCAAACTTTAGTACCACTGTTCACCTTGGAAATATAAAGTGATGTTAAAATACCAACCAAATAAACTCACAAAAAACCCAGGCACCCATTCTACCCTTGTCCAGTACACCTTAGCTTACCGTAGACTATATTAAGGTTACATTATGAGCTCAGCACTTGAGTGGACTGTTCATGTTCATCACATAACATTCAAGGCAGTTTAGACAAGGTTTATTATGTAACGTGGTGAACGGTTTAGGTTTTCGAGTGATGCATTACACACGTTATGTACTGTCCGAATAATGGTTTGCCAGTGCAGGTGGCGAGTTGTCCGGTGTTTTCGGTTTATCCCATGACACTGGGTCATACACAACTCGTTAACTTAGGGTGTGGTTGCTGTGTTGGCGACGGCTTCTACACCCTAAACAAATTAATGTCTTATACAGTACTGTAGGTGGACCTAGGGTCAGCCATCCTCGAACACGAGACAACAATTATTATGAGTATTATTATTATTATTATTATTAATATGATTGTATTATTAATTCCCTTTTCAAATCTCCTGAATATTAGACATCGTAACTTATTTCACCTGGGGGATTAGGTTAGGTTAGGTTAAGTTATTTCAAAATTGGGTTAGAATAGTTTTAGGGTTTAATAATATTTAGGAGAAATAAACCAGAGATGTCTAATCACCAGGTTAATCCTTTCCCCCTCTTTCCTTATTCTCTTTATTCCACTACCAACACTTACGGAGGCCAAGGTATCGGTATGGAACCAGAGGGTTACCATCTGAACCTTCAGGCCAGCGTGAACTGGGTATAATATAGGCCTTCCTCTCCCAGATGGCTCGCCGCTGTTCCTCGTTCAGTATGATGTCATCCCCAAACAAATCCATCTCGTTGAATTCGTCTCCAGACCCATAGTTGCCATTCGGGATCTTGGGGAAGAGGAAACAATATGTAATTTTTCCTTCTTCACTTGCTGTTTGTGTGATAGGTGAGCACTTCATGTTGTTTATGTGTGACAGGTGGGAGTCGCAGTGTGTGTGTGTGTGTGTGTGTCAACCTGATTGGGCAACCGCACCCAGTAAGGTCATCCTTATGCGGTCGAAAACACAATCAAAATCACAGATCCAAACAAAAACAAACCATATAACCTCTTATGATCGCTGCATGAAAATGACAGAACCCTTCTGGTTGCTGGCACAAATGCACTTCCTGAAAGAAGAACTGCCCTTGTGGCAAAAGAGTATAACATCGACATAGCAGCCATCAGTGAATTGCGGCTCCCAGATGAGGGCCAACTCACAGAACGTGAGTCTGACTACACTTTCTGGATGGTTAACCCTGCTGAGAGAAACCGCTTTTATGGAGTTGGATTTGCCATCTACCAACGCATCCTACACAGGCTAACTGAAATGCCTATTGGGATCAACGAGCGCTCATGGCACTTCGAGTCCCACTGAATCACTCACGTCTTGCCTTCTTTTTCAGTGCATACGCGCCAACACTGGATGCAGAGGATGGCATCAAGGAGACGTTTTACGCCGACCTCGACAGAGTGCTAACCTCTATCCCCGAAGAAGAAAAGGTTGTGCTCCTTGGCGACTTCATTGCCAGAGTTGGCAGAGATGCTAACATTTGGCAGGGAACCATAGGGAGAAATGGACGAGGCAAGAGTAATACCAACGGCCTACTCCTCCTCAGCAAGTGTGCTGCACACAAGTTCACAACCTCATTATCACCAATACCTTGTTTAGGCAGTCCGACAAGTTTAAGGGTTCGTGGCAACACCCACGATCCAAACACTGGCATCTCATTAACTACATCATTGTCAGAGAATGATCGCCGAGATGTCCTCATCACCCGTGCCATGCGTGGCTCAGACCAGTGACACTGATCATCGACTTGTCAGATCCAATGTAATGATTGTTTATCAGACCACAGCTTACAGCCCAGAGAATTACAACACATAACAGCGAGTACAGTACAGGCCTCATGGTACCCCAACATACCAGGTTGACACACCCTGGGTCAGGACCTAAGGGACCTGACCCCGACCGCTAAGTACAAGTCTTGAGTAACTACAATATAACCGTGTTAAGGAAACCTCACCTAGCCAAGACACACCCGGGCATGACCACGCACCTGGGCAAACACAGCTGTCCAGATCTAACCAGTTTAGTGTTAATTGGCAGGGGTCAATCGCCGGCTGTTTCTTCCCTATATAAAGGCCCTGCAGTCCCGTCCACGGGCTGATTCTGGTTACTCTCATTATTCTCATCCGACTCATCTTTCTCCCGTTCGGGTCGTCATTCTGTTCACTCACACAGAGTCCCCCCCCCCCAGGTCGGGAGGGAGACTTCCCGACCAGACCCCGGCGTCACCAGCTAAGCAGTCTCCCATACGAGACAGCCCAGCCAGCACCCGCTGGGCCTCCGTCAGGTTACACGTGAGTCTTTGTCAGGGCGATCCCTAGGGTGAGTTATCTACTGTGGGAAGTGTATTAATTTCATGTTTGTGTCCGAGAGTCAGTGTCGAATAACGTAAACATAATGTGCTAGTAACTCCGATATAATATTGATATTAATGTGTCCATGTCATTGAGTGAATTAATAAATAGTTGTATCGAAGTGGTGTTGAGAAATTGTCCCTTAAGAACGTATAATATAAATAAGTGTAAATAACTAACCGGCCACGCTACCAAACTTCCTGTCATTACATCCTCCTTCTATAAATATTCTACCTATATGTAATATCTTCTATACGAGTTTTGACTTGTTATACCAAGCTCTCACTTCACGTCGCCCCAAAACGGCGAAGGCAGCAAGCCTCCAGAAGAGGTTTTAATACTAAGCGTTTGGAGGATCCAGCGGTAGGACATGCTTTGAGAGAGCAGTTCGAACATGGGCTTATAAACAACCCAACAGCAATCAACGTGAATCCCAGTGCCGAATGGGATGCTCTTAATACTGTTATGACAAAAACCTGCGGAGAGACCCTCGGCCAGATCAAAAGAATACACCAGGACTGGTTCTATGAAAATGACCCGGCAATCAAAGTACTCATCGATGATAAACGTGCTGCTTTTACTGACTGGCAGAACAACCCTCAGTCTCGAACCAAAGTTGATACCTTCTGCAAGAAGAGAGCGGCAGCCCAGCGGGAATTTCACAATCTAAAGAACGACTGGCTTAAAAATAAAGCATGTGAAGCTCAAAATCTTGCAGATCAGCACAAGATGCACAAATTTTTCATTTCCTTTGAAACATTTTATGGGTCAGTCACTCATGGCGCAGCCCCCCTCCTCTCATCTGAAGGTAACCTCATAATTAAAGACGATGAAGGCCTCCTTCAACGCTGGAAAGAGCACAACCATTCATTGCTCAACCGAAACACCGAAGTAGATGTCCTGACTACCCAGCAAGTCCCTCAGCATCCAGAGCTGACACACACCTCAGTTATCCCCCATCCCTGGTTGAGGAAGCTACTGTCATCAAACAGATGAAAAATAACAAAGCCTCAGGGCCTGATGGAATCCCAGCCGAGGTGTATAAAGCAGGAGGACCCCTGCTTCCCAGCCGTCTCCACTCTCTCCTGGATAATATATGGGAAAAGGAGGAAATCCTCCAAGCTCTTAAAGACGCCCCCATTGTCAATATTTATAAGAACAAGGGAGATCGGTCAGACTGTGGCAAATACCGTGGGATCTCACTGCTGTCCGTAGCTGGCAAGATTATCGCCTGAGTCATTCTAAACAGACTTCTTCCTGAGGCGGAAAACTTCCTCCCAGAATCTCAATGTAGTTTTAGACCATACGTAGCACTACTGACATGATCTTTGCTGCCCGCAAGATACAGGAAAATTGCAGAGAACAGCGTCGTGACTTGTACATGGCTTTCATCGACCTAACTAAGGCCTTCGACTCGGTCAACAGGGAAGCCCTCTGGTGGACCCTCAGCCGTTTTGGCTGCCCACCAAAATTCATTCCCTTTGTGAGGCAACTCCACGATGACGTGAACGGCAGTGTCCTTCACAACAGCACCCAGTCAGAGTTCTTCCCCATCCAAACCGGGGTTAAACAAGGGTGTGTACTGGCACCAACTCTCTTTTCCATCTTCTTGGCTGCCTTCCTTACTCGTGCCAGTGCCAATTTAGCCAGCGGGGTGAACATCAAGTACCGGGGTCTTTTCAGCATAAGACGACTCCAGGCAAGAACAAAGGTGTCGGCAGCTTCCATTACTGAATTTCAGTTTGCAGACGACCTCATCCGTGTTGCTCACACTGAACACGACTTACAGGAGATCCTGAACACCTACGCAGACGCTTAAGCACACTTCGGCCTTGAGGTGAATGTACGTAAGACTCAAATTCTCTTTCAACCTGCCCCTGGTTCAGACACACCTCCACCATCCATCCAGCTTAACGGTACTACCCTTTCTAATTTTGCCCACTTTCGGTATCTCGGTTCTCACCTGTCCACCACCTCAAACATCGATAAAGAGATTCAACATCGGAACAGATGTGCATCACGAGCCTTTGGCAGTCTCCAAAATCTTGTCTTCAGCTGTAGAGAGCTGAAATTATCTACAAAGCTGTATGTATATCGAGCAGTGGTCCCCCCCACCCTGCTATAGTGCTATAGGGCAATGAGACATGGGTCACAGACAGGAGACACCTCAAGGCACTTGAAAACTTTCACCAACGTAGGATACGTTCCATCCTCCGAGTTCGCTGGGAAGACAAATGCCAGTATTTTTTGTTGACACCATGAACAACTACGTTGAACTGGCCATGTTAGCCGCATGGACGACAGTAGACTGCCAAAGCAGCTACTTTACAGTCACCTAACGAATAGTAAACGTGACGCCGGCGGGCAATTGAAAAGGTATAAGGACAGTCTTAAGACAAACCTGAAAAAGTGCCAAATCGACCCCCTCACCTGAGAGTCGATTAATCCACATCGTAACGCTTGGAGGAGCACCACACGAGAAGGTGTCAATGCTTTTGAGTTAGCCCGACTGCAAACCGAGGCAGACAAACGCCAACGCCGGAAAGACGCTGCCACCTCCCCTCCCGCATTAGATAGAGCCCTCCACACGTGCAACGAATGTGAGCGACGTTGCGGGTCCCGTATCGGCGTCTTTAGTCACCTCAAAACTCACTAACCTAGGTGACATCCCTATTAACTCATATCATTGTGTCATAGCTGGCTGATCGTCATACTCGATTCCGAGTGACAGCGTAGTAGTAGTAGTAGAGTGTGTGTGTGTGTGTGTGTGTGTGTGTGTGTGTGTTGGATTATGAATCAAGCTTTATAAATATTTAAGTCAAACTGTATTTCAACAGGCGACATTTCTGCAGTTATGGCTCTTAAACGGCTCAGCCATACTCACATTATTGCAATATGGTTCCTTAGTAATTAATATCTAATTTTCTACTTTAATAAACCGTTTTAATTCCAATTTCTGTAAATATTTGTGAGCGGCACAATACGTCTTTGCTTTCTTTCCGTCTTGGGAATTTCAATATAGATTTCGGTAATGTAAGAATTCTTACCATTATTTTTTTCTGCGGGAGTCTATGATGTGGGTGGTTGTGTGTGGGTGACTAGCGATCAGAGGCACGGCATGATGGATGTCAGCAGTTGTAGGGACAATGACACAGATGGTAATGCGTTTGCGACAGATAGTTGTATGTGAGAGAGGTACGTAAAGTGAGGAAGTGAGGGAGGACTTACATCTTCCACGTTAAATGTAGGTACTGGGAGATCCGTAGTCGTAGAGCCCGTGAACTCCTGTAAAAGATGCAAATTTTAGTGAAGTCTGAATTCATGTATCTGTAGCTGTATTAACCAGTTATAAATTCTATGTCATGTACTGATCACCAAATGTGTGCCTAATGGATAAAATAATGGATGCTCTTATACCATTAACTGTCCCGTATTTTCTAGGACATCTTCCTCAATTTCCTTTTCAGAATACCTGCATCTCACCTGTTGCTGTCGGAGGAGGGGAGCGTGGAGAGGTGAGTTCAGGAGGATTCACACTTCACCAGGGGTACCAACAGTTCTTGGCTCACTTAGGTAACAGGAAGTGTAACTCTTCAACAAGAAGACGTAAAAGAGTAACACCTCACCGAGAAAGACACTAAACTGGTAGACTGTATGTGCATAGTGAACGTTTCTCACTTACATATGTAAGGTAAGGTACCGTGATAGCGTCAAAATTATACTGAGACTGTACCGTAGCAATTTATGTCAGCTCAGCCACTGTTTTTGAAGCCCTAACTTAACCTAGCATAACCTAACATACACCTCGCATAACTTAACCTAACATATCCTAACCTGACTTAAACTAACTTGACTTAACCTAGCATAATCTAACATACCCTAAAAACTAACATAACCTAACCTAACCAAACATGAGGTACAATTCTTGAAAAATCTGCGTTATAATCCGTCCATTTACGATACAGTCTCAATGGAGTTTGGACGCCATGTTGGCTCACCTCGATTATTCTCGCAGTCATTTGAGACTCAGGAACTGACTCGTGCACAGGTGGGAGCGTGTACAGCTGTTCTTTTACCTAACCCATCTTATTCACTCAATAGATCAATAGATTTTTATTCGCCTTCGCATTTATAGCAAGAGCCTTTGAAGTCATTATAAACTACCCTATTCAATATGTTCCTTTGGGTATGTCTTGCCTTTAGGGATAATTGCTATGTAGTAATATAATTTCAAGAATCATTTGAATATTATGCACTCCAACTTATTTCACCTGATGATTAAGGTCTCTAACGTTACTTCACGCACAACTTGGCGGCTATCTTGTACCCCACGTCGGCGTGTGTATACCAGTCCTGGAGTTCCTGGTTTTCCGTGCTGTTCGGATCAGTCGGTGGCTGACTCTGCTCTCCCGTGATCACCACCACCACCACAAATATGGCTCGGTTGCCAGCTAATCTTAATACAATACATTAAAAGTTTTACACCTTATACCCAATAAAACAGAATATGGCTCTTACATAATGTTTTAACAACCAAAACTAATTAACACTGACATAAAAAAACAACATCGTAAATCAAAACATTAGAAAACCTTATATATATATATATATATATATATATATATATATATATATATATATATATATATATATATATATATATATATATATATATATATATATATATATATATAATTGTTTTTCTTTCTTTTTTATTGGGCACTCCCCTACATCCTTGGGTAAGGTGAAGCACAGAAGCGTTTACAGTACCCAACAGGGGAGCATGCTAAGTTCATGCTTGCCTTAATGTCTCATGAGTACAGGCCGTGAACCACCCTCATTCACTTTGGTCGTTCTCGGGTATCACCTAATTAGCCAATCATAGACAGCGGTGTGGGCCGACATGTGACAGGCAGGAGGGGGGGGGGTTAGGTTAAATCAGCGTTAGGGTGGTTGTTCATGTGAAATAAACTGGGTAGCCTAATCTTCAGGTGATCAAATTTAAATTTTATGAGTTCTGTATCATAACTTATCCCAAAAATATCAGAATTTTTCCCTCAAGTACCAGAACTTTAGCCTTGAGTACCAGAATCTCGTGAGCTTTGTAATGCCTTGGCTGTTTCACAAAATCTTTCAGCGAGTTTTCCTTACTAATCTGATCAAATGAATGTTGAAGGTTAGTAAGACAATAAATATCACTGTTCCTTGAAGCCAGATACACATAGATTTGCAAGTGAACTTTTCCCCTTAATGCTACACAAGTATGGCAACAAAACTTGCATTAGACTTGAATGCTTAGTTAAGAAGGGAAAATGATATAGGATGTTGAATGTTGGTCGGCCAGCTGATGATAGAAACATTTATGTAATGAAATATTCTCGAAATATAACTCTAATTTTTCCCCACAACAGTTAAACTCAAGTAATGACACGACACTAGCAACTCTGTTAAGTAACTGCTCATATTGAAATATAACCTGAAATTGATACATTTTGGGAACTTCATAATGACATTCCAATGATTCTCTGTTTGTGTGTTTTACGCTAAATAAGGATAATCGCCAATTAAGCATTAAAAAGGTAAATGACTTGTTTGCCACATAGATCAAACAGTTTGATTTTAATGTTACAATTTAATGAAGTTTCATTTAAGACGTTGTTATATATTATATAGTATAACCAGCTTTAACTAATATAATATTGGGTATATATTCAGTTTCAACTAATTTAATTATGAAATACAATTAGTTTCAACTAATATAATAATATAATATTAACAGCATGAATTAATCCTTTACAAATCATGAAAAAAATGTTTCGTAAACCTGAAATATGGTAATAATCATCTCTTATTACACTCTTTATTTTATACTGTATATTACATTTATATGTTTCAGATAATATACTGATCCTTACGGTTAGTAACTAGGATCACTCGCTAACACCTACTGGTTAATGGAATCAATAACACATATCATCAAATGATATTGTTATCATTAACTAGAAATTAATATCACTAAAATCTACTAATAACAAGGGTCACACACTAACACTTGCCAGTTGGTAGTTGGCCATAGGTAGCAGGCAGCTATCAAACAGGGAGGTACTACCGACTGGGAAGGTATTGGAAGCATCATGTGTTGTCTAATGGTAGACCCTGCTGCCGTATGGCATCACAAAAATTGTGACCAAGTCCTAGGTTGCTCATCTGACTTTCTGCCTCATTTACACACAATTGCAGGGTCTCAATTGTTTCTCTGCCGGCCAATTAGTTTGACGTCAGTAGTGGGGGAATTTCTTGAATCAATTATAGCTAATAGCGTCCGTTCGCATTTAGAGAAAACAAATTAATCTACGACTCACAACATGGATTTACAAAGAAAATCTTGTTTAACAAATCTGCTGACGTATTTTAGGAAAGTCTTCGAGGTAGTAGATAATGACGAAAATTACGATGTTATTACTTAGACTTTAGCAAAGCTTTTGACAGAGTACCGCATCAGAGGCTTTTGAGAAAAGTTAAGGCTCATGGTATCGAGGGGAAGTTTTAAATTGGATAAAATCATGGCTCACCGATAGAACACAGAGTGTCAACGTGGTGTTAAATCTGAGTGGGGCTGTGTAACCAGTGGGGTTCCCCAGGGGTCAGTACTAGGCCCACTCTTGTTCGTAATCTACATAAACGATCTAGACACTGGGATCAGCAGTGAATTAAGCAAGTTTGCGGATGACACCAAAATAGGGCGGCAGATTAATTCAGGGCAGGATGCAAATGCACTACAGGAGGATCTAAATAAACTGCAGGGGTGGTCTGAAAAATGGCAAATGAAATTCAACACCAGCAAGTGCAGCGTACTTAATATTGGAACAAATACTGTCAATGTATACAGCCTTAACAACATCAACCTAGAGAAGTCGACTTGTGAAAGAGACCTAGGGGTACTTGTAAGCCCGGACTTACGGCCTAGAAAACATTGCGTTAATGTTCGAAATAAGGCAACCAGAGTATTGGGTTTTATATCTAGAAGTGTAAGTAATAAGAGTGCAGAGGTCTTATTGCAACTATATCTTGCGCTAGTCAGGCCGCACCTCGATTATGCGGTTGAGTTCTGGTGCCCTTATTATAGAATGGATATCAATTCACTAGAGTCGGTGCAACGAAGAATGACGAAAATGATTCCGGGACTTAGAAACCTTCCATATCAAGATAGGTTAAAGAAACTAAACTTGCATTCCCTAGAAAGACGAAGAGTGAGGGGAGATATGATAGAAGTATTTAAGTGGGTGAAAGGGATCAATAAAGGGGATATAGATAAAGTTCTTATAATATCCGAGCAGGATAGTACTCGGAGCAACGGATTTAAGTTGGATAAGTTTAAGTTTAGGAGGGAGATAGGAAGGAACTGGTTCACAAACAGGGTGGTGGACGAGTGGAACAAGCTTATCAACTTTGTAGTAAGTGCTGTAACGCTGGAAAGTTTTAAAAGGAGGCTGGGGTAGATTCATGGATAATAGAGAGTGGTAGTAACTCTCGACAGGAGCTGCCATGCACAGGCCAACCGGCCTATTGCAGACTCCTTAGTTTCTTATGTTCTTCTTATGTTCTTAGATAAATGTACCCCATCTCTAGCATAAAGATTTCTTCTGCCGTAAAAGTCGTCCCAGTGATTGATATTGACTTGCAATATCTGACAAGACGGCCGTTGACACCAACTGCCCTTGACAACCATTCATTGCTAACTCATCTTCTAGGCAAGACACCACATATGATAGGGATTGCCTCCCTTTATCCTAATACATTCGATAGCTGCCTTGAAATATCAAGGAGCTCCTCATTCCTACACCTGCAAATATCATTGCCTCCTGCACTGAGGCAGATAATGGGTTTGTTTCCATCATCAGACAAGATATTGTCCATCCTGTCAGCTATATCACCCACCCCAGCTCCTGGCAAACACATTCTCATCCTAGTATTTCTATTTTGGGCACAGAAAGCTCTGTCTAGGTACCGTACCTGGGAATCCCCAACAATTAAGGTTTTCGTACCTTCCATGTCAGTCTTGTACCATATACTGTACAAGATATGGACTCACTCGTGTCGTCAAAATAAAAAAAAATCTTAATAGTAACGTTTAGAGAGGGTAAAACACTTACTGCAAATGATTGTCCAAGTCTTCTGTATTATACTAAACTCCTTGTGTATGCATTCACCTGAAGTATGCAATATATCCGCGGTGTCCTTGATAAAGGACACAACGATGCTTTTGATTCCGTCATATCTCACGAATATTTTGGGGATATGTTATATACACTAAAATATTTTGATAACTGAAGACATTATAATTATTTTCTAAAAAGGAAAGGTTACCTGAAGGTAGGCGTGGATGGCGACGAAAGACGCAGAGGCCAAGAACCACCGTACCAACAGCACCATGATACTTCGTCAAATGCTGTGTCCCGTCTGAGGCTTCACAGCCCTTGCGCTTTACATTACTTGTAGACCTTCTTCCGCCCCCCCCCCTCCCCCATTCCCTTTCTTTCATGAGCAGCTGCCCATCACTTTAATATGAGTTAATGAAATTTGTGTAAGAATCTAGGCCTTTACGTAGGTGCTTAACATGTTGTTTTTTTGTTTTGTTTTTGTTTTTACGGGAATTAGCCCACCCGGGCATAGGTCAGTGACCCACATCAGGGCCTGGGGGGCGAAAATTAAATAATAATAATAATAATAATAATAATAATAATAATAATAATAATAAATAAAAAATTAATAAAAAATTACACTAAAATAATACTGATAATAATAATAATAACACTGTAATAATGATAATAATAATAATAATAAAGAACCATAAAGAAATACAAAAATGAAAAAAAATATGTTGTGAGAAACGTTATATGTATGTTGTGTTGTCAAAGTAACAAACAATTGAAACCCTGCAATCGTATGTAAATGACGCAGAAAGACACAATTGAAGTAACTACATCTAAAAATAATTGCCTTCACACTACGCAATAACTATAATGAATGGTAATTATCATTTACTATTTCTGCATCATCAACCTCATCAGCTGAGGCAATTGATTTGTTTATGTGGCAGGTAGGCAATCTGCTTGGTGTCATCCTACTTGAACGATCACTTGTTTTATGTGAGTTTTATCATATTTGTTAAATTATTATGTTAGGTACGTTACAATATTTTACAGTACATGACGTTACATTACGTTAAACCGCATAAAACAGACGGTCGTCAAAGTGGAATGTATTCAGCTGCTCGCCTACCTTCTATTCATGGTGGTCCGGGCTCGTTACCAGGAACGCATAGGTTAGGTGATTACACACACACACATATATATATATATATATATATATATATATATATATATATATATATATATATATATATATATATATATATATATATATATATATATATATATATATATATATATATATATATATATATATATATATATATATATATATATATATGTGTGTGTGTGTGTAATCACCTAACCTATGCGTTCTGGTATATATATATATATATATATATATATATATATATATATATATATATATATATATATATATATATATATATACATACAGACAGTACATAGGGGTATATGAGGTTAAGCAACATATACAATTTTCTAAGTTGACGTTTGCTACAGTACTGAATACTATTGTCGTAATATTTTTTTTTTCATAAGCATCATTGACGAGAAAACGGCCTCACAGATACAAGTGCTTCCAAATTGTACCAGTACCTAGATAGCTCGATTTTTCAAGTAATCCAAACCATCCACGTAAAAATTCATCCATGCCTCGTTGTCAACCTGTAATTCTGCCATTTCGAGAGTAAAATAACCGCACTGTTTTGCATGTGTCTTGAACGGAACTGAACAAAATCAAAAGACAAATATTTAATTCAAAGAATCTGTCATTAAAATTTGCTGCCATTTTCTGATTTCATCCGTGAGAAGTAGAGTGAAGGGGGCTGGGAACAGATCAAAGGTAGGAGTGTGGAACTTCTGTTGCAAAACTTTCATCAAGGCAAGCCTGACCTAGACTGACCTGACACAAGGAAAGTAACTGCGTTAATCCCTTGGCCTAATTTATGGTCTCGACTTAACGAGATAGCATCTGGACCTAAAAAAAAAGTCCATTGCAAGACTCAAGGGACTCCAGCAACCCCAAAAGCTCCAAAGGTCAGCGACTCTACGAGCTCTATGCGACCTCTTATGATGCATCTTGCAATTTCGACCCCGTGTTTGGGAACCGTTGCATTAGAGTATTCACTATATCTAGGAACGAGATGTACTCTCTTGATTTATCGATGACGGCGAAAAGCACCACGATATTTTTATTTTATTTTAAACGGTGCTTCTTTTGGATTTTTTTTTCATGTAATCCATGATTCACCAAGCCATGAATACTATCTAGCGTCATAATCTGAAGGTATTCACCAATTTGTCAATGCATTTATTTTACGTTACCAATAAAATCAAGGTTCCTATTACTCAAGTTTTTCAAGCTGATGTATTCACGTGTGACAAATATTCATTCTAAATGGTTAAGCACTAGAGTCCGTCTTTGGGTGTACAGCTAAATCAAGAAGACCCATAAATCAGAGTGATTAGCAGTTTAATGATTTTTCAGTCCTAACTAATCTTTTTTTTTTTTTAAAGTTGACGGCACAAGCCCCGCTGCTCTTGCATCATCTTTGATTAATATTGATATATCGCAAATAAATTCATGTATAACTGTTAAGGATACCTAGTTTTCACTCACTTTAATACCGAATTTAATATATGTAAAAATATAACTGCTTAAAAATTTTAAATTTCAAAATATGAGTGGAAACATGTTTGAAATAAAGAACATTTACCGTCGAAGTCACATAAAAATTCATTCTTTCGAAGAACAAATTATTATAATTACTGTATATATCGAGGCAGATGACACCAAACATAAAGCAGCCATTTTATAGTGTAAAATCAATTGTAAAATGAACGTTGTGTGGAGGTAGTATGCTTGGTCAAGGTGGCTTTGGCTTGGTGCTCTGCTCACCCGAATAGCCATTTTGAGTCGGGCTACTAACATGTGCAAATGGACAGGATGGCCGATGGGTTGGTATACCGCGAATCATTTGTCACATGGAATCAAACGACACTTCATTTGATTTAATGTTTCAGGATTGCATTCTCCTTTACTTCGTTTGTTACCCATCCTTGAATATTGTGTCCGTTTCGTTCTCTGCTGCGGAGCGCCGCTTAAAATAATTGATAGGAGTAAGCGCATGCGTGCGTAGTGTCAACAAAGGCTGTAAGAGACTGCTCCTTAAATTCGTATTTCTGACGAATTCAGCGAGTCTACCAATCCCAGCCTGTGCAGACAACTATAGTAAGACCCAGTTATCAGCACAGTGGCATATATTTTTTTTTTTACTTTTGGACTCATTTTTTGGGGATAAAACATTTGGTCCTACCACCAGATCCCTCTGAGCAAAGTTTTTCAAGTTTGCGCAAGCGCAATGTGATAGTGTGACGTAGCAGTGACGTCATTACCACTCCAACTGACTGCAGTGTTGCCAACGTGCCCTTTGCCCGCCGTTAAACGCCCCCGTTCGTTGGAAACGGCGGCAGTAGGTGACAGTGATGCTGACGACTTTCTTCTTGAAAACACGTCAAAGAAGAAGCAGAAACCTCAGAAGTCAGGGTCCCCAGCAGGGGCCACGGCTCCCCCTTGCACCCCTTCTGGGGCTGTAGAGGGTGGACTCCTCCTGTCATCGGGGTCCCCAAGTGAGCTTACATGTGGCTCAATGACCGACCCTCCGCCGACGATGGACATATGGGATTCCCTTTGTCTCCCTGCCCCGTCGCGCCTGGTGGGTGGGCCCCCTCCCTCCGAAGGTGACTGTAGGACCAATTCACAACTGTCCTCTCGACCGATTTATCGGAACCCCGAAAATCTGTGGTCGTTGCCAATCGTGGAAACACTGCACCTGGGAGTGCACGAGGATGGTCGCCTGCGGTTTCTGTGTAGGTCCTCACGACACAGTGGAATGCAAATCGAAAATTCAGAACAAAATCCCAGTTATTCCACGGTGTGTCAATTGCCATGGCAGTCACCACGCCTGGAATGCCAATTGCCCACAGCGTCCTGGCACTCGCCCGGGGAAAACTTACCTTGTACCACCGCCCTCGTCTCTGACGAAGCCCCTGTCAACCAAACCTCAATCCTATCCACCACCGCCTCTTCCATCCACCAAGGATTTCCCATTGATCTCCTCTCCTCTACCATCACCCCTACCACCCATCCTTTCTCCCCTCCCTCCCTCTCCCTACCGTTCTTGGAACAAGGTCGTTGCCGGCCCTGCCACACAGTCACCACCACCTCCTGCCCACCCGGACCCCCGCTGTCTCTCACCAGCACCACCACCTCTTACTCAACTGAACCCTCACCGTCCCTCTCCGTCGCTACCACCACCTGCCCAGTCGGGCCCTCGGCAATCCTCGCCGCCACCTCCAGCTCCTGTACAGGTACACCAAGTTGGTTCTATGGAAACAATCACTCTCCGTCTGGATCGCCACTCCAAGCAAATCAACCTTCTCTCTGCCCAACTCGACTTGTTTGTGAAAACAGTTGCGACATTGCAGAGGCAACAACAACTCATTTTGGACACCCTGACCCAACAGGGGTGCACTTTGCAAGCCCTGATGACCCGCCTCCTTCCATCTCCCGAGATGGAGGATCCATCCCTCGCTCTCCTACTCCTCCCTCTCCATTTTTCTCAACAGAATTTGGTACCTCCTCTGGAGCCCTGTCTAGCCCCTCCGACTCATCTCACACCGGAAGCCGTTCCCTCCTCTTCTTACAATGGTACATCCAGGGACTTAGACCTCGCCGGACAGACCTCGCCCAGTTTGTGCTCTCCCATCAAGTAGATGTCGCTCTACTTCAGGAAACCATCACAGACGATGTTACTCCACTCCGCCTCTCTGGCTATACTGTTTACACCCTGCCTCGGTACCGTGGGCAGGCTCGTGGCCTCCTCACCCTTGTGCGTAACACCATTCCATCTGTTCGTCTCCCTTCACCTGACTCGCATGGACCCCCGTCTGAATTACTTTGTCTCCCTTACTCTTGATGACCGGACCCTTCGTGTAGTCAATGTTCATTTCAAGAGTGATTCTCTGGACCCCAGGTTCTTCACGACCTCCATGATGGGATTCCCACTATTTTTCTTGGCGACTTTAATGCCCGCCATCCCACTCTTACTCCGGATCATTCCACTCCATGTACTCTTAACGGATCACATCTCTCACAGTTTCTTAATGGGGATGATGATGTTCGCTTTCTTTGTCCTGACGATCCTACTCGCCTCCCCCATAGTTTCCTTGATGTTGGCTTACTATTGAATGGTCAAACCTCCTTTCATCCTACCGTCTGCACCGAGCCTGCTCT